TGGCCGACCCGAGTTCGATTCCTCCGCCCCTCTCGGAGAGCCCGGCAAGCTACCGAGAGTATTCGATATGCCAGACACAGTAACAACAAAGTCTCCAATGGAGACATTACTGGGCCCGCTCGAGCAAATCGATGATCAACGGGGGGGTCTTTACTTACTTTACTTAAATTTAAGATGACTGCTTAAATGAGCCTCGGCAGCTGAAGACCTCCGGAACCAGCCACAGCCATGCTTAAGACCACTCTCCACATGTTCAGATGAGCCTCAAGCATGAAGGAACTGGCAGCGGAACCCAGGTGTGCTGGACGCAGGGCTGAGATCTCCAAGCCTGCTCAGATCGGGACAAGGCCTCCTCCACCCAGATCCCCCATCTTCCAGTAGCTAGGCACTATCCACCAACTCCCCCCAGTGCCGTGTTATCCCATCAACAGCCAAGACCCAGGAACTATAAAACCCAGCTCCTGGACCTCTTTGTCTAGTTCTCACTCTTGGAGAGAACCATTGAGTTCTGACAGGCTATCGAGTGTATTCTGCCCACACGGCAGAGTCTGGCAAGCTCCCTCCGGCGTATTCGATATGCCAAAACCCAGTAACAATGATGGATCTCATTCTCCTGACCCTGAAGGAGCCTCCAATGTGGCACTTGCTAAAATCTCAGGGCTAGGACGAATCTCAGGAGACATTACTGGTGCCTGCTCGAGGAAATCGATGAATAACAGGATGACATTGATACAGTGATACAGTGAGTTTAAATGGATATGGACTAAGGAAGGGGAAAGCATGCCTTTATTTATTTATTTATTTTGGCTTTTTGGGTCACACCCAGCAATGCTCAGGGGTTACTCCTGGCTCATGCACTCAGGAATTACTCCTGGCTGTGCTCGAGGGACCATATGGAATTCTGGGAATCGAACCTGGGTCGGCCATGTTGGCTGCATACAAGGCAAACACCCTACTCACTGTGCTATCGCTCCAGCCCAGAAACATGCCTTTACATAAAATTCTGCCCTTGATTAGACCTCCTAGCAGGAAGAGATCTTCATCTTAGAAGAGCTTCCCCTGAAGGAAGGGTTTTACATATATTGATTGCACTATCTGACCTAGGGATAGTTGCTACCCCCAACCTTGGAGGTTGGGCTCTTGACTAAGGTGGCGAGAGTGGGCATGGGGTGATGGAATATAGGCAGAGGGGGAAACTAGAATTGGGTGCTCAGTGAGTTTGAAACAGGCATGCTGGGAGACTGGAATAAAGGGCAACTGATCACCAACCAGGTGGGCGGCCCTGTTCTCTCCTTTATGAATTCATCGGCGGTGGCAGGCTGGGGTGAGGAAGCAGCTTATGGCCACCAAACACATGCGAAGAGTGCCTAGACTTTTGTGAATTCATAGATTGCCACTTGAATCACCCCTGGTGTGAAGCTTGCATTCAAAACCCCGTCACTCCCCCTGCAGTAAGTCTCAGAAGGAGCATCCCCGAGATTGCTCTTATTGGAGGTCATGGAACATGTCTGATTTGGATACAGACAGATCACTCAGCCGCTGAAGCGCCCCTTGACGGTGCTCCCTTAGGTCACATCAGAATCTCCAGCCTCGTCTTTTATCCACTGGGTTAAGCTCTAGAAGCTGATGGAGAGAGACAGGTGGGAGGGTGACAGGCAGAGGGGACTTCACCCTGACTTGGGAAGCCTGTAAGACTTGTGGGCTCGGCCGCAGGTGCCCTGGCTTTAAATCCTGCCTGGCTCTGCGGCTCACTCGATGTGCAGCTCTTACCAAAGAATAAAATCTCCTTGAGTCTCAACTGCTTCGTGCTGAAGGAGCATAAGCCCGCCAGCTGTCTCAAGCTCTCGGCTGAGGTTTAACTAAGACAACACACACGCAGAGTACCGAGTCTTTGTAACTGTGCCGAGAGACCCCCACAGCAGCCCTGGAGAGCACATGGGGTCCCCTCTTTCAAAACCCCCTGCTGGTGACATCGAGTGGGTGGCCTGACTTTGCCTGGTGGGAGTATTTACACTGTAGGAAGCCGGCAACATGACTCACCAGGGCTTGGGGGGTGGGGATGCTTATTTTTAGCACCAGTTGTTAAGCATTTCCCTGCACGCCCCCGGGCTTCATATGCCCCCCCCCATCAACACTATCTGGGATGCTCTAATCTTTTTCGGGAGGAGGTTCCCATAGGAGGATCCCATTGCCTGTGCAATTTAGGAAACTCGTGGGCGCGGCACTGCCTGAAGCGCAGAGTAGATTTGTGGAGAGTGGCCCTGGGGTGGGGTGTCAGGGGAACCCCCCCACACCCCCAAGCATGAGCACACATGCCTCTGGGGTTGTCGGGGGGCTGTAGAGGCCAGTGTGAGGCCCCACTGCCTAAACACCTTTACAGCTGCCAGTAGGGGTGGAAGGTGGGGGGCCCGAGCATCCCTGTGCCCCTGTCTTTTTGCAGTCACCACCTGGGGGTGCATCCCCATGGCTGGGAGTCATGTACATCAGCCTTGCTCTGCACTGCTGGAGACTCCCAGGAGGGGGGCTGGGGGCTGGGCCCTGGAATTTGCTAAACATTCGGGCAGCCACACAGATGGAGAGGGAAGGCGATTTTATTCGGCAGGGCTGTAATCAGAGAACCCGAAGTGGTACTGCACCCTCACTAGGAACTCCTCCTCTCTGTGACTCCCCTGTCCGCCAGCATCTCCTGGGTAGCCTGATCTAGGGAGTCTGCCACCTCACAGGCCCTTTTTTCCAAAGGAGTTTCAGTTTTTGGTGTGTGTGTGTGTGTGTGTGTGTGTGTGTGTGTGTGTGTGTGTACTGTAGTTCTCTCTCTAATCATTTCTTTCACGAGGCGAACTAGACCGGAATCATCTAGAATTGGATCTGGTGAAATGGAATAGGGTAGAAAATGACCAAGCACATTATTTAAATGAAGACTAAGTGTCTTTACCCCAAGGGGGGGTGGGTGAGGCCCCTCCCTGCCCCAAGGGACCCAGCCCTGGCAGCCAAAAACCTCCAGAACTCAGTTGCCACCATGCTCACTGCCGCTCTTCACACACTCGAACAGAGCCTCACCCATGAGTGAACCTATTCCTGGCCCACGTGATATCACTCATACTCCAAGAGTCGCGCGCCACATTTGATGGGATTTGAAGTAGAAGGCAACCAATCTCAGAGCACACAAGGCTCAACCTCTAACAACATGTTAGCGATCTCTTCTAGAAGGGCTTAATGGCCCCTGGGTGAAATACAACAATCTTCACTCACTTTCCTCCAAGAAAACATCTTTGGAGAATCTCCAGGGGTTTATTCATAACAAACAATACAAAAAAATTGTTTCGGTTCTGCTTTGGGGCAGGGGATGGGTTTGGGGCTGGAAACGTCTGGAATATGGTGGTGGGGAGGTGTCATGGTGGTGGAATTGGTGTTCGAATATTCTAGCAAACACACACTGTCCTCCCGTTGTTCATCGATTTGCTCGAGCAGGCCCAGTAACGTCTCCATTTTGAGACTTGTTGTTACTGTGTCTGGCATAGTGAACATACTCTCGGGAGCTTGCCGTGCTCTCCGAGAGGGGCGGAGGAATCGAACCCAGCTTGGCCAGGCTGGCTGCATGCAAGGCAAATGCCCTACTGCTGTGCTATTAAACGTATTCAAAATATTGTGAACTCCTTTATAAAAATAAAATAAAAGACTGTGTCTTTCTCCCTTTTTCTTTTGGCGGGGGCTCCCAAGTGGTGTGCGGGGTGGTTTATGGCTGGGGCCCAATGCAGTGCTCAGGCCCTGAGACATCGGGACCTGCAGACCAGCCCCGCCCTGCCCCACGGTGCTTGGGTTTCCGGTTGGCTGAGCCCCCCTCAGGCAGGCAGAGGACCGGGCACCTGTTGTATCCACAGAAGTGAGGACTCACACGGGAGTAGGGGAGGTGGGAAATGTGCTAGGGAGGACGGGGCTGCAACATGGCATGACTGAAGCCCAATTATGCACAACTTTGTAACTGTGTATCTCACGGTGATTTGATTTTAAAAATGATACATAAAATAAAAAAAACAAGGGCCCCCCATTCCCACCCCAGAGAGAGGGGCTCTCATGGAGACAGATTTCACTATGTTTTTGTAGGGCCTGTGCTCAGCAAAATCCATGGGGTTGGGGGCCGGAGCAATAGCATAGCGGGGCGGGCGTTTGCCTTGCACGCGGCCGACCTGGGTTCGATCCCCAGCATCCTATAGGGTCGCCCGAGCACCACCAGGAGTAATTCCTGAGTGCAGAGGCAGGAGGAACCCCTGAGCATCGCTGGTGGGACCCAACAAGCAAAATTTAATGAATTTTATTTAATAAATAAAAATCATGGGGTTCCTTGTTCTTTGTAAATTTCAGACAAACCAGGGAACGGATTTTGTTTTATTATTTGGAGGGGGGTACCCAAGTGGCACTCTAGAGACCATCTGGTGCTTGGGCATCACACTGGAGTCTGCCGTGTGCCAGGGCAGCACCTTCCCCTCAAAATCTCTCCCCAGTTCCAGGAACCGGGTCTCCTCAGCACTTGATTGACAGATGCTGTCAACTCAACTCTGCTGCTCAGTGGGCACTAACCTTCCAGCAGTGAGATCGTCCTGGATCTGTGTGCCAGCTCAGGCAACCCTGAGGGACACTGAAGCACAGGAGGAAACACTCTAGTTAGATTTTCATAAATAACATCTTAGGTTACTGCATAAATAAGTCCAGGAGATTGTGGTGGGGGATCATTTAGGAGGCGGGGACCCAGCTCAGTGGGGCCAAGCTCTCTGCGTCTGGCGCTGGACCGCAGCCCCGCTGGCCCCTACAGGACCCTCTCTGGTCACGAGGCCGTTCCTGCCTCGCATCTCACTGCCCAGCACCTCAGTGTCACTCAGTAATCGTCCTGCAGGGGTAGAAATGGAAGCTCAGAGAGGGCAAGCAAGCCCCCACCAAGGTCACACAGGGCGGAGCAGAAGACGCATGCGCTTCCGGCGCAGGTGAGTGGCCCTCTGCTCTGTCCATCAGTGTCCAGCCTCTGAGCGCTGGGTGCTGGCGGCAGGCAGGTCCAGGTGTGGGGGGCGGGAAGGAGACCCCCGGGGGCGTCTGCGCTGGAGCCGGGCGTGAAGGTGACGGACCCTCTGGGCCTCGTGGTCCGGGAAGAAGGACGCGGCGATGGCGTGGCGCAGGCGGCCGGCGTAGGTTTCCAGGAGGACAGCGGAGCCGGCCAGGAGCTGCAGGGCGCCCGCGGCCAGGGGGGCAGCCGTGCCCGGGGGCTGCGGGGCCAGCAGCGGGCAGGTGGGGGAGGTAAAGCGAAGCTCCCACTCCAAGGTCTGCTGAGTGGACACGAAGGGGCTCTCGGCGGGCGGCTGGTTGAAGAGGAAGGGGATGAAGCCCAGGACGGTGTAGGTGGCCTTGGCAAGGAGAGAGAGAGAGGCCGCGTTAGCAGGCAGGCCTCAGCTCAGCTGCCCTGCCTCGACTTTCCCCCACTTTCATCTGTGAAATGGGTGCAGAGGTGACTCCTGCCTTCCCGGTTCCCGGGAGCATCCAGGGAGATGCAGAGTCTGAATCTGGGCCCGACAGATGCTCTTTGTTATGACTCCCAGGAAACAGAAGTTTTCTGGGAAAACACACCGCCAGTGTTTCAGAGAATTTTCTCTTTTGGAGCTCTTAATTAGCATGTGGTGCATTCTTTCCCGACAACCCTCAGAGGTTAAATCTGGCTCAGGCCCCATTTAGAGAGGGGTGGGGGGTGGGGGGGTGGGCTAAGCCCGGAAGATGACCTGTGGCTGACCCAGGGCCAACCCCAGCTGAGGGCAGAGGGGGTCCCCTGCTCTGTTCTCAGCGGAGACCACACAGTTCCTCCGGGCTCTGGGAATTCTGTGTCTGGAGGAAACGGGGGTCAGAGTTCAACCATCCCACCCGACTGGGTGCCCACTGCCTCCAGGGTCAATTTCTCTGCCTGGCACACAGTATTTTTGGAGGATGCTTCGTTTGAAAATGCTTATTTTAAAATAAAATGTTTAACTGTAATAACACAAAATGCTTCTTTTATTTTTTTCATTTGTGCTTTTTGGGTCCCACCCGGTGATGCTCAGGGGTTACTCCTGGCTCTGCACTCAGGAATTACTCCTGGAGGTGCTGGGGATCGAACCTGGATCGGCCGTGTGGAAAGGCAAACATCCCACCCGCTGTACTATGGCTCAGTCCCCAACGTGTTTCTTTTGAATTAGGAAAAAAAAAAACTTTCAACTTGAGACCCTTCACGCTACAGTATTACAATATTTGTCTTTGGACTCCTGCCATCTTGAATGTTCCCCTGTTTGGGGGGTCACCCCCAGTTGCGTTCGGGGTTCAAGTCCAGGGAGCAGCCCTAGGAGCTGCCTCCAGGCCTCAATGTTTCCTCTCAGTAATTTGCTGTTGTGAGCCTGGGGACTGAGCTCGGGTTACATCTCTGCCCTATTCATATTTCAGGGGGGCTCCCGAGTGGGTGCTCAGAAGGTGGAGGGGACCTGCTGGCATCTCTCAGCAGACCACCATGTGGTTGAGGCTGGACTGGTTACCCCAGGTCACCCCCCCAAGTGTTGCTGGTCTCTGCACCCTTCACTGCTTGGGGTGCCCAGGCTGGTGAGGCCCCAGGGACCCAGTGTTGCTGAGACTTAAACCCAGGGCGGGTGCACACTGGGCACCTGCCCTCACCACTCTCCCCCACTTCTCTCCACTCTCATGCATGTTGTGTGTGTGTGTGTGTGTGTGTGTGTGTGTGGAGCCACACCTAGTTGTGCTCAGGGCTTGCTCCTGCTGGGGCCGGGGGACCCTCTGAGGTGCCAGGGCTGCAGGGTAGGTGCCTCCCCCACTGTCCCCTCGCTCTGGTCTCTTGTGAGAGTCTCTCACGGAGAGGAGAGCCCAGGAAGCAAGTGCCCCCATGCCCCACGTCACCGTGTCCCTCCTTCCGGCTCTGGCCCTTGTGGGTTGGCTGACTTTGGGCAAACCTCTGGCTTCTCATCGCCTCAGTGTCCTCACTGGTAAATGGTGGTGACAGCCAGTCCCGTCGGCAGGTGACGTTCAGCACGTTTCTTAGTTGGCCAGCTCAGAGACTCACTTCCTCCAGGACTGACATCTTTGCCATCCGTCTGTGTCTTAGCAGCGACCTGACCTGGAACTGCTTTAGTCCCCCCCGGACATGCCCTGGCAGGAGAGTCCGAGAGGGTCAGGCGGGGTGGGTGAGCACCGGGAGGACTGTGGAGCATCTTGGGGGCTCTGGAAGTCGTGGGGAGCAGGAAGGATGAAGGTGGCTATAGCCACTGAGCACTTGGCCCGAGCCTTTCATGGGAGGACACTTCAGGAGCCTTCACAGAACATGGGAGGCAAGAGGGAACAAACCACGTGGCCTCCCAAAGCAGCCACTTGTGCTGAAGGGTAAAATCGTAAGTGATGAAGGACTGGAGGAGCAGTGCCGGGCTCACCTTGCACACGGCCCACCCCACTCAACCCCCAGCCCTGCAGAGGGTTCCCAAGCACTGTCAGGCGTCATCCCTGAGCAGAGAGTCAAGAATGATCTATTCCTGAGCACAGAGCCAGGAGTGAGCCCTGAGCACAGAGCCAGGAGTGAGCCCTGAGCACAGAGCCAGGAGTGAGCCCTGAGCACAGAGTCAGGAGTGAGCCCTGAGCACAGAGCCAGGAGTGAGCCCTGAGCACAGAGCCAGGAGTGAGCCCTGAGCACAGAGTCAGGAGTGAGCCCTGAGCACAGAGCCAGGAGTGAGCCCTGAGCACAGAGCCAGGAGTCAGCCCTGAGCACAGATTCAGGAGTGAGCCCTGGGCACAGAGTCAGGAGTGAGCCCTGAGCACAGAGCCAGGAGTGAGCCCTGAGCACTGCTAGGTATGCCCCAACCCCAAGCCTGCCTCCCGAGAAAGATCCCCACACAATAAGAGGGCCTGGTGTCAGGGCTCTATGGAGAATAATATGATTCGCAAACCTCGATGTTATGGGTTTGAGGAGATGAACTCAGCCAAGGGACGTTTGGGGTACAACCCAGCACATTTCTTCACTGGCACCGACAGTCAGAAAAGCACGTTAGAACAACTCCCTGAGGCTCGGACTGCGCTGTGGGAAAGAATTCATAAAACAGTAGGTCTGTCACCTACAACTCTCTGCAATTAATTTCTAGTCCGGTCTACTGGAGCTGTTTTAAAAAGCTGGATGTGATCCCCTAAATGAATAGATTTCAAGCAGAGGGAAAACCACTTTGCCTGTGTGTAGATAGAAGTGATCAATACACATTGATTAACATTATTTTCTTTAGCCCAGGCCTGACATTTTGGCTTTAGACAAACAGTGGATTTCTGTGTCAGAGTGCACCACCCGAAATAAAAATAGTTCTGGTCAAAGAAAAGATTGAGAATTGGAGAGCTAGTTGTCTTCCGGTAGGTTTAGGTAGGGTGCTTGCCTGACATGTGGCACACCAAGGTTTGATCCCTGGCACCAATTTTGGTCCCCTGATCCCTGCCAAGAGCGGTTCCTGAGGCGTGGCCCAGAAAACAAAAAAAGACTTAGGTCTTTTTTTTTTTTCGCTTTTTGGGTCACACCCAGCATTGCACAGGGGTTACTCCTGGCTCATGCACTCAGGAATTACTCCTGGCGGTGGTCAGGCGACCATATGGGATGCTGGGGATCAAACCTGGGTCGACCACATGCAAGGCAAATGCCCTACCTGCTGAGCTATCGCTCCAGCTCCAGCCGTAGGTCTTGATCTGCTAGTAAACGTACCAATTGGTACCCATGGAAACGTAATATACACACACTGTGTTCCCATTGTTCATCGATTTGCTCGAGTGGGCCCAGTAACGTCTCCATTGGAGACTTTGTTGTTACTGTGTTTGGCATATCGAATACGCCACGGGTAGCTTGCCAGGCTTTGCTGTGCAGGCGAGATACTCTCAGTAGCTTGCCGGGCTCTCTGAGAGGGGCAGAGGAATCAAACTCGGCCATGTTGGCTGCGTGCAAGGCAAGCACCCTACCCGCTGTGCTATCGCTATTCAAACAATAGGCAATCTATTTTACAGTTACTCAAAATTGTCTCTGTGGAGGAGCCCTGGGCAATTTTATTTTATTTTTGGCTTTTTAGGTGACTCCTGCACTCACGCACCACTCGGTGGGCCGTATGGGATGACAGGGATCAAACTGGGTCTGTCGTGTGCAAGGCACCGCTCTCCCTGCTATACTATCGCTCTAGCATCACTGTCACTGCCACTGTCCTCCCATTGTTCATTGATTTGCTCAAGCGGGCCCAGTAACGTCTCCATTGTGAGACTTCTTGTTACTGTGTTTGGCATATTGAATACTCTCGGTAGCTTGCCAGGCTCTCCGAGAGTGGTGGAGGAATCGAACCCGGCTCGGCGTTGCTGGCTGCGTGCAAGGCAGTTGCCCTACCGCTGTGCTATCACTCCAGCCCATCACTCCAGCATGGACTTGAAAAGTTCAATAAAAGCTAATTTACAAAAGCAGGATTTGGCGCATGGGTGTCCCTGGTAGATCTCTGCTCTGCTTTGTTTTTTCCTTTCTGGCTCTGGGCCACTCCTGGCAGTGTCCGGGGGCTCTTCCTGGCTCTGAGCTCGAGTGAGGTGTGTGCTGGCCGCTTGCAGGCAAGTGCCCACGCCCCCTCCTATCTCCCTGTCCCTGAGTCCTGACTCAGACCCATGTTTCTCATCCGCTCTCTAACCAACCTTATTCCCTTCCTGCGGACCCCCCCCCATCCTACTGCTTGCCCTTGAGTCTCATGCTATGACCCCCTCATTGATGCAATTTTCCTCTGTGATCCTCCCTTGGAATATCCTGGGACCCCTATGACTATGACCCCCGGTTGGGAAGTGGGAATCCAATTCCTAGGCCCTACTGTCAGATTCTTTTCTTTTCTTTTTTTTGCCTTTTGGGTCACACCCAGCAATGCTCAGGGGTCACGCCTGGCTCTGCACTCAGGAGTTACTCCTGATGGTGCTTGGGGGACCATATGGGATGCTGGGAATCGAACCCAGGTCGACCGCGTGCAAGGCAAACGCCCTCCCCGCTGTGCTATCGCTCCAGTCCTACTGTCAGATTCTTAAAAGCCTTTGTTATTAAAAAGCCAGTGTTGGCCCACCATCTCCCGCGGGGCACAGTCCTGGGCTCATTTAGAGAGAATCGCGTTTTCAGGTTCATGGAGAACCTGTGGGGAAAGGGAGGAAGATGAAGGTGGGGCATGGTGCCAGGGAGGAAAAGGGTCATCTTACGGACAACTTTTCACATCTCAGGGTGCCCATGGGTGTCCCTGGTAGAGCTTTGCTCTGCCGGGGCCATCAGGCATGGGAGGGGCTGAGGCAAGGGCTGAGACGAGGAGCGAAGTGTGAACTTCAGCTTGAGGTTGAAGCTTATTTTTTTTTCTTTTTGGGTCACACCTGGCGATACTCAGGCGTTACTCCTGACTCTGCATTCAGGAATTACTCCCTGGCGGTGCTCGGGGGACCCTATGGGATGCTGGGAATCGAACCTGGGTGGACCACATGCAAGGCGAATGCCCTACCTGCTGTGCTATCGTGCCAGCCCCTTTACACAGAGTTTCAAGGACCACTTTGTGGGCCAGAGAGGGAGTAGAGAGGGCAGGCACTTGCTTGCCTGTGGCTGACCTGGGTTCAATCCCCGCCACCACTAGTGGCCCTCCGAGCCCCACCAGGAACAATTTCTTTTTTTTTTCTTTTTTGGGTCACACCCAGCGATGCTCAGGGGTTCCTCCTGGTTCATGCACTCAGGAATTACTCCTGGCAGTACTCAGGGGACCATATGGGATGCTGGGAATCAAACCCGGGTCGGCCGCGTGCAAGGCAAAACGCCCTCCCCGCTATGCCATGGCTCCAGCCCCGAGGTTGAAGCTTTGACAGACCCCACCTCGCCCGCCGTGGTGGCACTTACATTGTACTGGACTGTGAGCGTGGCGGGCACCACGGGCAGCTCCCGAGCCCAGCCCACAGCTGCCTGCGCCAGGAGGAAGGTCACGTGGTCTGTGGCGGCGGTCAGGGCTGTGGCCAGCAGGAAAGGGATGAGCGTGGCCAGCTGGGGCAGACAATTCAGCAGCTCTTGGGGGGTCAGCCGTGGCCGGGCAGCCCAGAGCAGCCACGGAGGCGGGGGGGCCACCAAGTGTGTGTCCCCCGCTTGCTCCAGCCGCCGGACCAGCTGCCTGGTGCCGTAGATATTATCGAAGCGCAGGTCCGTGAGGTAATGATGCAGATACTGGGCCGAGTCCACCAGGAGGCCCAGGGCAAATAGCCCCCCGGCCAGTCGCTGGACCCCCACTGCTGTGCCCCGGGCCAGAGACTCCAGGTCAGAGAAGTCGGCCAGGACCTGATGAGTGACCCTGAGCATGTGAGCGTGGAAGGCAGAGGCGTCACCCTGGGGCTGGACACTCACAGCCCGGTGGCCGCTGGCGTCCAGAGCCCGGGCCGCAGAGTGGAGCTGGTGGGTGGTGTTGAGGAGGTTCTCCATGGAGCCTTCGGTGACGCACCTCATCACGCGGCCCACCGCGCCCAGGTTAGCCAGGACACTGGGCACGGCGGAGGTGGCCAGCGTCGCGGAGCTGCAGGACAATAGCAAGCGGCGGCCCTGCTTGGTGCCCAGGGCGGGCACGCTGAGCGCGAACAGGCAGCGGGCTGGGGGCACCAGGCCTAGCAGCAGGAAGAGCAGGAGGCCGCAGACGGCAGCTGCGGTGGCCGAGGGTCCCGCTGGACAGAGCAGGGAGGACACCAGCCACTGGTGAGCCAGGCTCGCCGCCGCCACCGCTAGGCAACTGCACAGGAGGAGCTGGGTCAGCAGCTGGCCGCAGCTGGCTGGCACGGGCTGTGAGAAGGTGAGCCAGGCGGCCCGCAGCGGGCCAAGCGCCTTGCAGAGCCCAGAAGGCCAGAACCGGCACCTGCGTGCAAGGAAACGGGAGGAAGCGCATCAGCATCTTGGGTACCACGTCCTCCCCGCCTTATAAGCCTGTCACCGTGACAGGCTCCGCCCCTCCAGCCGCAGGGGCGGGCGCTCTTGCAGCAGGGCCAATCAGTAAACGCACCCCAAGCTACCTGACCCAAAGGGAACCAATCAGAGCCTTCCCTAGGATTCTCTCTCTCTTGGAGCCCTGAGGTCAGAATTCTACTTTTCCCCCGGACTGCTGCTCCTGGCGTTAAGGATGGGCATTAAGGACTGCGTGTGTCCCTAATGCCCATCTTGTGGAGGCTTTGAGCTCCAGGGAATGAAAGTGTCATTGGGGAAGCACACAGGAAGAGAGAGAGAGAGAGAGAGAGAGAGAGAGAGAGAGAGAGAGAGAGAGAGAGAAGACTCCATCCCATTTGAATTCATAGTTCGCTTGGCTGAATTTTGACCCTGGGTCTTCCTTTATGAACCTCAGCATCTCCTTTGTAATTTGAAGGGGGGGGGGAAGATGGGGGTAATGGACCAGTGGATGGCTGGGGCATTTCTTTACTCTTGTGATCTTATATTTATCCAAACAACAAATATTTATTAAGCTACTTCTAAGTTGGTGACTGTGCCAGGGCTCAAGCAGATGAGAGTTCCTGCATGCATGGTCACTCTAAGAGGGACAGCAGAGGAATGGTCAGAGCAGAGAGGCTGGATCGTGAATCTATCTTAGTGGAAGGGCTGTAGGTGCAGAGAAAGTGGGGAGTTGAGGATGACCAGGAGGCTGAGTGCCAGGTCAGAGAAAGTAGTGAGGGATGGTTCCCTCAGCCCAGGATGCTGAGCCTGGAGCAGACCTTGGTGCAGAGAGGAGATCAGGAATCCACTTCAGGTCTCTTGGAATTCAATATTCCCCTTTAGTCAGAACTATGGAGGGAGAGAAATGCGAACATGCGTTCAGGAGAGAGAGAAAGCTGGGAGCCATTGGTGTGTAGGTGGGATGGAGACCCATGGGCAGGATGTGATGCCATTAGCCGTGTGCTCAAGGGAGGCCACAGGCCCAAGACAAAAACCTCAAACTTTGGTCTTAATGGGTCGGAAACGACAACCAGCAAGTAAGCCTGAGAGGCAGATAGTGTGATGTTGGCAAAACCACGTGAATAGAATATCCCAGGAATGAAGAGATCGAATGTGTCAGGGTCACTTAAGGTTCAAGACAGGAGAAAAAAGGGATCAGACCACATGGAAGTCACCGGTGACCTGGACAAGGCCAACTTGGTGGCAACTTGGGTGAAGGCATAGGAGAGAAGGAACAAGGAACGTGATGGGTGGGGGGAGATTGGACCACCTCATCAGGTCAGTTGTGCGGTGGAGGAATCAAACAACAGCCAAAAATGAGAACACAGGACCAAGAAGGACATTGAAGGTAGAGAGAGAAGCCAGTTTGCCAGTGGGAAACCCAATGGGGCATGTTGACCAGGAGAAAGTTTGCCGTGCTGATAATACCCCTTAAGAGATGGCAGGGGAAATTGGGACAGATGGTGAGTGACGCGGCCAAGACAAGGGGACTTACGTATTGGTAAGTCCTCCCTCACCAGATCTACGCAACAGTGAGGGCGTGTCTTCACCATAACACCTTCGCTCAAGGCTTGACTCCGCCACTCAACATGATGTGATCTTGGTTTAGTTTCCCAATTGTTCTAGACGTCTTTGTTCGCATTGGTGGAACCATGCAACAAAATGAGTGTCTCCCAGGGCAATTTTTTTTTTTTTGCTTTTTAGGTCACACTCCTGGCTCTGCAGTCAGGAATTACCCCGGTAGTGCTCAAGGAACCATATGGGATGCTGGGAATCGAACCCGGTTTGGCCGCGTGCAAGGCAAATGCCCTACCCACCGTGCTATTGCTCCAGCCCGTACCAGGGCAATTTTGTGCCCAGCACACAGTGTGCCAGCTGCTAGCTAGCATTAGACATCCACCCCACCAGGACAGAGATTTGGTCTCTCTGATTACCTAACCCCAAGGGCCTTTGGTGGGGCATGGAGCAGGGGCTCCAGAAGGATTTGTTGTGCCAGTGCTTCTGTTCGTGATTGCTTCTATTTCAGTACTGATGGTGCCGGAAGGTGCAGAAAATGCTGGAAGGCGTTTTTCAGAATGAAAGAGGAAATAAGAGATAGCTATCCGGGAGCAAGGGAGAGGAAGTGAAGGAGTGGCAGGGAAGCTCAGGTGACCTCCTCCTGGCTAGGTCCTGCGGTACTTTCAGTGAATCCCAGCACTGCGGCTGAAGGATTCATGGGAAGAGAAAGTGATGTGAAGGACAATCACTTTGCTGGTACAAGTGAAACCCCTGACGTCCTCCACATCCTCTGCCCTGCAGCGTGAGAGGGGAGCACATGCTCACTTTTCAACACAGTTATCACGCCTCCTGACTACACTGATGGCTGCATGAGTTTGCCCTGAGTTGGGCCAACAAATGAGTGCCTTCGGCGAGGCTTTGCTTAGAAACTTGAGCAAGAACCCGGTCATCCACAGAGCTCAGATGGCGGAAGGGATGTCTGGATGTTTGGGGAACCACCAGGTCTGGCTACAACAACCCAGGAGGACAGTTAAGAGGCTGCGCTAGGGCCAGAGTGGTAATACAGTGGGTAGGGAGTTTGCCTTGCACATGTCCCACCCAGATGTTGTCTCTGACACCCCATATAGGCTCCTGCACCCAGCCAGGAGTGATCCCTGACTACAGGGCCAGGAGTCAGTCCGTGTGGCCCCAAAACAAATATACCAACAAGAAGCTGAGCTAGAGAATCCCAGCAGGATCGGGGCAATCCCTGGATTGAGACAAATCTAAAAGGAGGTTTTTGCTGATCCCAGCCGTGGCATGATCAAAACCTTTCCCTGAGGCAGAGTGAGATGAATATTTGTCACAACTGAGTCCTGGTGAATAAGAACCTTTGTCACAGGATTTCTGGGGCCATCCAGCTTAGGCACAGAAAGTGCTTCCACGTGTGTGACCCAGAGGGAAGTCTTATAAAATCACGTCACCAGGCACGAGGATGTTGGTGATGGCGCTCAGAGCTCTGCCAGCCTCTGTGTCAGCGTAGATGAGGCCACAGTCCACAGGGACTCTAACTGGGGAACTGTATCAGCTCATTCCCTTAAAAAGGAATTCTCATTCCTGAGCACGGCTGGGTGTGGCTCCACACCAAAATAAATAAATAAATAAATAAATAAATAAAAAGGGACTTTCATCACCTCATATCTGGACCTAAATGGGGAAGGGCTCAGGAGAGAGTAATTAAATTTTACCTGGAGAACCGGGAAGTCTTCCTGTAAGAAGTGACATTAGAACTGGACCTGAAGCGACAAATGTCAGTGCCGAGTTGTAGAAGGCACTTGGGCACCCCGCCAGAAGGAAGAGGGTGCACAAAAGTTCTGCGCTCCGATGGGTGCCCTCAGGAAGAGGGGAGACTGGAAAGAGGGTGCTGTCAAGCTGCCGCTAAATTCTCAACGTAGGAGCACCAGGGCTGACGCCCATTCACAAATGCCAGTGTGCTTATGTTTTGGTAACTCTGTGTGTGTGTGCGTGCGTGTGTGTGCACGCCTGCATGTATGTGTGACTCTGTGTGTGTATATGTGTGTGACTGTATGTGATTGTGTGTGACTGTGATCTGTATGTCTCTTTGTTGTGTGACTATGTGTGCATATGTGTGACTGTGTGTCTCTGTTGTGTGACTATGTATATATGTGTGTGTGACTGTGTGTCTTTGTGTGTGACTATGTGTGTCTCTGTGTGTGTGTACATATGTGTGACTGTGTCTCTGTGTGTGACTGTGTGTGTCTCTCTGGTGTGTAAGACTGTGTCTTTATGTGTTTATATGAGTGTGACTCTGTGTGACTCTGTGTGATTGTGTGACTGTGTGCCTCTCTGTTGTGTGACTATGTGTGTAACTGTTTCTGTATGTGTATATATGTGTGACTGTGTGTCTCTCTGGTGTGTGACTGTGTGAGTGTCCCTGTGTATGTGACTGCCTCTGTGTGCATATATATGAGTGTGTCTCTGTATGTCTCTCTGATGTGTGACTGTGTGTGTGACTGTGTCTCTCTGTGTTTGTATATGAGTGTGTCTCTGTGTGTGACTGTGTGTGATTGTGTGACTGGGTGTCTCTCTGTTGCATGACTGTGTGTGTGACTTTCTGTGTGTGTGTATATGTGTGTGACTGTGTGTCTCTCTGGTGTGTGACTGTGTGAGTGTCCCTGTGTATGTGAGTGTGTCTCTGTGTGTGTATATGTGTGTGACTGTGTGAGTGTGTATCAGCTGCCTCCATTCAGAAATAGATTCTGCATCGAAACTCACGCCTCTAGACATTGTTGAGCTCAAAGTATCCGGTGAGGTTTCCACCTCTCAGCTGGTCAGGGAGGCCAAACGCCAGGGTGGCCGGGGCCCCTCTGAGCAGTGTCCAGGCTGCCTTGACCCTGATGCTCCACTCAGCGAGTTCTCGACCCTTAAAGGGGTGGCACGTGGGATGATACCTCCCTCCCTGCTATGGTCTCCATGTTGGGACCCTGGAGGCTGCCAGGATACAAGCATGAGCACTGCTAAGGAGAGTCAGCACTGGGGAGTGTGAGCATTGCTGAGGAAGCCAGTGCTAGGGATGAGCACTGCTGAAGGAGTCAGCACTGGGGAGCAAGCTCTGCTGAGGGAGTCAGCCCTGGGGGCCTGAGCATTGCTGAGGGAGCCAGCGCTGGGGAGTGAGCACTGCTGAGGAAGCCAGTGCTAGGGATGAGCACTGCTGAGGGAGTCAGCACTGGGGAGTGAGCACTGCTGAGGAAGTGAGCACTGGGGGTGTGAGCACTGCCGAGGGAGTCAGCACTGGGGACCTGAGCATTGCTGAGGGAGCCAGCGCTGGTGAGTGAGCACTGCTGAGGGAGTCAGTGCTGGGGGTGAGCACTGCTGAGGGAGTCAGTGGGGGCAGGGGGCGGGGCGCAGTCTGAGCGGGGTCAGTGGGCCCTGCTGTCAGCGGTGCATTCTCGAGCCCCTTCCTGCCCCTCTTCTGTCCCCGTCGCTGAGACCCCTATTTCCCCCCGTCTCAGAGGGGAAACTGAGGCTCCCAGAGGCGAGGCTGCTGCCAGGCTCAAGCCCCGGGGCACTGGCCCTCAGTCCCAGCTGTCACCCTTCCTGCCTGGCCCTTGTCGGCTCAGGACCCCCAGAGTCAGGTGCCCCTAACCTACCTGCTCCTGCCCAGGTGCTCAGCGGGGCCTGGGGTCACTCTCATGCTGCTGGAAGGGTCCGTGGCCGCGTGGCAGGTGAAGGGGAAGTGAGCTGGCCCGCCCCGGGGACTGCCCAGTCATCTCTGCTCCCTACCCTTGAGCGCTGCGTCCTCTGGCCACTCTGGGCCCACCTCCTGGGGGCGGCCCGATGCCTCATTTCCTTCTGCTCCGCGGTGGGTGGAGGTGTGGGAGGGCAGGAAGGCCCGGCTGGCCCACTGCACAGAGGCGACCACTGAGGCCCAAGGAGGCCACAGTCACTCGGCTGTGCCCTCTCTGCAGTCATGCGCCTCATGGGAAGGCCACCCTAAGGGGTCTGGATCCCACCGAGACCCCGGACTCTCTCTACGGACCCCTGTTGTCCCAGGGGAGGGGGGGCCCCTCCGGTTCTTTCCTGCTTCCAGCTCAAGGGCGGCCTCTGTCCCTGGCCTGGGGCACCCACCTCGTCTCTCTGTCTCTGTGTTCCTTTTTTTTTTTTTTTAAGTTTTATTAGTGAGACACCATGAGATACAGTTGTAGACCTACAAATTTTTGTGCTTGGGTTTCAGTCATACAATGATCGAGTACCCATCCCTCCACCAGTGCCCATTCTCCACCACCACGGATCCCAGTATCCCTCCCACCCCCATCCTCCCCATCCCACCCTGCCTCTCTGGCAGGGCATTCCCTTTTGTTCTCTCTCTCCTTTTGGGTGCTGTGGTTTGCAAAAGAGGCCTTGAGTGGCAATCATGTTTGGTCTATAGTCTACTTTCAGCATGCTTCTCCCATCCTGGAAGGATCCTCCCAACACCCTTTATTTGGTGCTCCCTTCTCTATCTGAGCTGCCTTTTCCCCTAGCATGTGCGGCTGGCCTCTGAGTCCCTTTTAATAGCCAGGAGAGCTGGAGAGAGCCCTGCCCGAGGAGGAACCCCTTCATCCTTTACCCGAGAGGCGCCCCTAGCAAGGGGGAAGTTCACAGGCGTCTGCAGGCACCTCTGATGATGCAAAAGGGTCCTGTTCAATCTGCTCTGTGCCCTGCTGGCCCTGCGTGGAGACTTCCAGTCTCCTCTGAAGAGGAAAAATCATTTTGTGCCCGATCACTTCCAATAGGGCCCCCTCCTCCAGGAAGTCCCCCTGGTACTCCCTTGCCAAGGACCCCGGGGAAGCAGGCCCCATGGGGCATCTTGTCATTTTCCGCCTGCTGTTATTGCCTGAACTTCTGGTGCAGACCTGAAGGACGAGACCCTCTGCCCAGAGAGAAGTGGCATCCTTGTCACCACACAGTTGAGTGAGACATCTGGGTCTCGGCGTGTCCCTGGTAGCACCCCTCCAGGAGGAGCACGGGGAGCAGGGCAGGGACAGAGCTGTCACATCTGGAAGGCCCAGCTGCTAAAGCGGAAGACACCTTCTTGTGCCTCTGCAGACCTGGGGTGGGGGTGTGGGACGGGGGATTCTGCTCTCAGAAGCTGAAGGGAGAGACCCCGAGGAAAGTGAGGGGGGGTTGTCCCTGGCTGATTTCCAAAGGCGCCAGCCAATTCTTTTTGTCTGTTTTTGTTTGGGGGACACACCCAGCAGTATTCGGGTGTCCCAAAGAGGAATTGAAAGAGCTATGCTTGGAGTACCATGTTTCACTCAAACGAGAGAAAGAATTCGGAGTTCCGACCTCTGTTGAGGTTCAAGAATCAGGGACGCTGTCTCGTTTGCCAAGGCGTCAAAAATCAGATGGGCTGGACACATAATGAGATTTGGAGATGACTGCTGGACTAGAGTCATTACCGACTGGATTCCATGAGACGTCAAAAGACCGCGTGGCCGCCCACCTATGAGATGGTCAGACTTCTTCGTCAGGACCCTGAACAATCGGTTTGAGGCTCTTCGTGTTCCTAGTACGAACAGACGCCATTGGGCTACACTAGCATGCGACAGGGACGAATGGAGACATTACTGGTGCCTGCTCAAGCAAATCAATTAACGGGAAGTCAAGTGATCAAGTGACCCGGCGGTGCTCAGGGCTCGCTCCTGGAGGTGCTCAGGGGACCATATGGGGTTCCGGTTCGAACTTGAGTGGGCCGGTGCCAGGCAAGTGCCCTCCCCGCTGTGCTAAGGCCCGAGCAGTAGTTTCCTCTCTGTGTGCGTGTGCAGGGGGGTCTTCCAAGAGATGCACAGGAGGCCTGGGGGTCCACCCTGGTCATTCTTGGCCAATGAGAAAGGCTGTTCAGTGCCCGGTGGAGGATGTGGGCCATGGGCAAAGCCCTGCATGGTCCCCTGGGGTGCACCTGCCGGAGCCCCTGCGTGGTCTCTCAGGCCACCCCGTGTTAATTCACTTCATTGAAGGCGGAAGGTTGACAAGGTGGAGGACGCCACTGGGACCCACTGCACAGGTGTGTGGACCCAAGTCAGCTCACTGCAGGGTGCTCCAGTTCCCACCCTCACAGGAGCTGGGTGATGACCGGTTGTCCCTCTGAACTGCGAGGCTTGGAACACCAGCCTGGCCATTGACTGTGCTGTGTGCCGGTTGGGTCAAGTTCTGTCTGTCTCTGATCCTGAGTGAAGGGAAGACTAGCTCCTCCTGCATGGGGCTGCTGGATGATTGGGGAGACCATGGATGGAGCATGAATGGGGAACATAACAAGGGTGCATGTGCTCACCCAGCCTCGAGCCCCCAGGGCCCAGCCCTAGGGAACTCCAACAGCTGGGAGACCCCGTGCCTGAACAGGTGCTTTGTGGGGAAGCAGGCTGCTGATTGGTTCCTGAGCACATGGGATGGGCTCTTCGTGGGGAAGCAGGCTGCTGATTGGTTCCTGAGGACATGTGGGCAGGCTCTGTGCAGGGAAGCAGGCTGCTGATTGGTTCCTGAGCACATGTGGGCAGGCTCTGTGCAGGGAAGCAGGCTGCTGATTGGTTCCTGAGAACATTGGGCAGGCTCTTCATGGGGAAGCAGGCTGCTGATTGGTTCCTGAGCACATGGGGCAGGCTCTTTGTGGGGAAACAGGTTGCTGATTGGTTCCTGAGCACATTGGGCAGGCTCTGCACTGGGAAGCAGGCTGGTCATTGGTTCTGAGCAGGGTCGTGCCCAAAGGCTCTGGGTGTAGGATTTGGGAGGCTGGCATGGAGAGGGTTGGCCTCTCTGGACACAGGAACAGGTGGGCAGCCCCTTCCGCCTGGACAAGGCTGGCTGGCCAACAGGTCCAGCTCTTGCGGAAGGGCCCCCTGAGTCAGCACAGTGGCTGGGTCAAAGGCAGCGTGGCTCAGAGGAACTTCTGCAGGACTCAGAACCACAAGACAGGGCAGGAAGGGGAAGTGGCGAGCTTGCAGGGCGGTGGGCAGGGAGCACCGCTGGGGGACCGTGGACGGGGCCCGTCCAGTACACGCAGGGCTGCCCAACAGAGCTTGTGGACGGAACCGTATCACCTCTAGGCCTTTTTTTCTAGGGGCGACATCCAACATAGAAATTAAGCTCAGGTATTCAACCTAGGGCCAGACACATGGCAGAGACACGGCCAGGTCCCTCTCTTGCAGGCAGTCCACTGGGGTTAAGCCCCCAGCACTGCATCCCTGCATTTGGCCTGTCCACAACACAGCCAGGGTCACTCCTGAGCACAGCTCCGGGAGCCCCACTGGGCCTGACTCACTGGAGGGGGTCGGGGGACAGAAGGTTCGTTTTCTGCCTCCTGGGCTGGGCCCCAGGTCCCGTTTGGTGGGTCAAACCTCCTTCTGGGTGTTTCTGGGGGACTCCCAGGGCTGCTGTCTCCCAGGAAGCAGATTGGGCCTCGCTGCCGGGGCTGAAGGCCTGAAGTTTGGGGAGAAAGGCCAGTCCCCCCAGGAAGAGGGGCTCCGCGGGCAGACCACCCTGGGGCCTGCACAGCTCTTTCCGCTCTACGGACATTGGTGTTCTCTCTTCCAGCGGTTCTTGAACTCAGAAGAACTGGGACCAATGTGGTTGGGCCGGGCCAATGCACCCCGCCTGGGAGGGCTTTGAGTTCATCCATCCCTCCCATCCCCCCCCCCACTTTCAACCCCCTCACGTCCCTTCTCAGCCCCCTGAACCCCAAGCACCTCTGTCTGACCGAGGCAGAGGATGCGGCTGCCCCAGGGATGAAGACTTGTTTATGGAAATGAGCGCGGCCTTCTAGATACTGGATTAAATAATTGGATTTCTTTATTTGCACAGGTTCAGATCATACGGCCATCAATCATCACAAATTGACTTATTGATTTATTTCCGGATAATTTCATTTGCCGTTTCTCTAAGTTTTCTCTCGGAGCAAACAAAAGGTGGAGGGGATTTGTTCTGTGCCGGCTCAGGGGGCCAGTGGGTGGGGTTGGTTGGAACACTGTGCACCTGAGACATCGCGGTTAGGAATTTGTAAGTCATGGTGTCTTAATAAAAAAAAAAAATACTATACTGGGATCCATGGTGGTGGAAAATGGGCACTGGTGGAGGGATGGGTATTTGATCGTTGTAAAATCGAAACCCAAGCACAAAAATTTGTAAATCTACAACGGTAGCTCGTGGTGTTAAAATAAAAGGGAAAAAATACTATGTGTTTAAAAGAATAAAAATAGACACGTCTGCCGTCTGCTGCCCCCACACGTGGCATGCGCGACCCACTTCCTCCTGGGACTGACATTCACACCCCCACACACCCGTGATGGGCTTGGTCGAGGCCCCCAACCCCTCGGTACCCTCCAAACCACGCAGCACCATGTCCTCCTGCGTCGCCTCCTCGGGGCCCAGCTGGGTGCTTTGTGCCGGAACCGGGACCCAGGAGTGGTGGGTCTTCAGGGACAGTGCGGAAGTTCCTGAGTCGCTGCCAGGCCGCTCGGCGGGGCGCCTCTGGGGACTGGTTTTCAGGCTTGTCAGCAGAACATGAAGCCACAGGGTCCCTGCTCTCTTTACGATCAATCACTGTCTTCTATTTAGTTACTTCTTTATCGCTTCAGTGGAGGGTGAGTGCTCCCAAGTGGTGCTCAGAGGCCCAGAGGCCCTCTCTTGGTGATTATAAAGCTGCCGGCTGTTTAGGCCGGCCTCCCTCCCTCCCTCCCTCCCCCTTCCCTTCTTCCCTCCTTCCCTCCTTCCTTCCCTCTTCCTTTCCTTCCAGGCTTCCTTCCTTCCTTCTCTCCTTCTTTCCCTCCTTCCCTCCCTCTCTCCCTCCTTCCTTTCCTCCCTTTCTTCCTTCCTTCCACCCCCTCAACACCTGGCAGTGCTCAGGACTTAATCCTGGCTCTGCCCTCAGGAAGGGATCATACAGCTCCCTCCAGGCGGGGCTCAGGGGACCATATGGGGTGCTGGGGATTGAACCCGAGTGCAAGGCAAGCGCCCCCCCCCCCGCTGTGCTATGACCCCTAGACAGCCCTTAGAAAAGGGCACCCCCCCCCCCACCCTCTGCCCTTTCTCCAGGCTGACGGCAGGTGGGGCTCCGCACTGCCCCCTGCTGGATGCGGCCGTTCTTCCCTCGGCGGAGGCGAGTTCTCCCCCCCTCCCCCCAGCCACAGTGCTTTGTGGCAGACTGATGTCCGTGGGCCCCCAATTTTGGACCCTGAGTAGCCTTCTAGTGTTCCTTCCCCCTTCCTCGACGCCCTCAGTCACGTCGAGGGCGATTAGACCCCTGGGGGGGGGGGGTCGACTCCAGCCCAGCCCAGCTGGGGAGGTGAAGCCGCCCACAGAGCCCCTTGGAGAGGCACCCGGCTGTGGCACCACTGTCTCCCAGCCCCTGAGCTGGGGGTGGCCAGGCCGCCGCGAGGAGCTGCAGGACCAGCTGGAGTGGCCTCGGCCTCTCTGGCTCCAGGGACTGCACGGCCATCACAGACCCTGGCCAGAGGCTGAAGTGGGCTCTGAGTCAGTCTGTCCCACCGGACACCTCCCTCCTGGCACCCACACCAGGGCCCAGACTCTCCCGGGAGCCTCCGTCTGGGCCAGGAAGCAAGCCTGGAGGACGCGCTGAGGAGGCGCAAAGGGGCACAAGGAGGCTAGGGGCAAGTGAGGCCGTGAGGGGGCGGGTGTGCTGGGGACCTCCAGGGGCCAGAGCCTCCGGCACAGACAAAGAAGCTTCCTTTCTCCTGTCTGTGCCCTGGGGATGGAGAAGGTGTGGGGCTCTGCAGGACAGCATGCACTCTGCACGCGTGAGGCCCTGGGTCCCACACTGGTACCATACACACATGCACGCGCACACACACACACACACACACATGCGCATACACACATGTATACACACGTACACACATGTACACACATGCACATACACACACCACACATATACATACACACATGCACACATGTACATGCGTACACATGCAGGCACACGGGTACACACATGCACACACGTATACACTTGCACACACGCATACACATGTATACACATGCACATACACACATGCACACACATGCACATCTGCACACACATACACATATGCACACACATCCACACATCCACAAATACATACACACATGCACATTCACACACGCAAATAATATATACATACACACATGCACAGGCATGTACATATGCACACGTACACACCTCCATGCACACATGTACACACATGTATGCACACTCGTACACAGGTACACACACATGAACACACACGGACATGCACGCGCACACACACACTGTTTGAGACCATGATTCTCACACCAACACTCAGACGCTTCTGCAGCAGCACCAGCACCTCTGGGACTCATGTCAGGGACACCCTCAGGGGGAGCGGTGATGTGTGAACAGAGACCCGAATCAAAGGAGGGACCGGGCCAAGCTGGGAGCCGAGGGTCCTGGGCAGGGGCTCCGAGGCACATTTGTTTGTGTGTGTGTGTGTGTGTGTGAGAGAGAGAGAGGGAGATTGGTGAGCATTGTGCGTGTGTGTGTGATGATGTGTGTGGTGTGTGATTGCGCTTGTGTCTGTGATGTGCATGTTTGTGGGTGGTGTGCACAGGTGTCCGTGCGTGTACGTGCGAGTGTGTGCGTGTGCACGGCTGAGAGAGACCGAGACGGGGCGCAGGCAGCGTTTCTCCGTCGGGCAGGCAGGAGGCCGAGCAGTGCGTGACGCTCTTTATTGACGTGTTTCCCATCGGCTCGCAGCCTCGTGACCCTCGGCGTGGGAGTCCGCGTTCCTCTGCAGGAACCTCTCCCCTGGCCCGCGCTTGGGAGGGGCCGCTGGGGCTGCATGACCTCGTGCGTGGGCAGTGGCAGGGCCGACCTCCGGCAGGACCCCGCGAGGCCCAGAGAGAACTGCCGGGCGAGGAGGGTCCGAGCGGCAGGCGGCACGAGGGTCTTCTGGGTGGGGAAGCGTCCACAGGGGTCCCCCCGGGGGACTCACAGGGTCCGAAAAGTGCCGTTGGCTGTGACGGAGGGCAGTGCCGTGGCGTTGGCCCAGTGGCTGTCGGCCCAGTCGGGGAAGGTGCCCAGGTTGAAGATGGCCTGTCCCCAGGTGTTGATGGCCAAGGTGAGCAGCAGCACCCCCATCATGTTCATCAGGAAGCCCGTGCGCATCTGCAACGGAACCGCAGTGACCGCGGGCAGACGTGGCCCCGGCCTCCACGGATCCTGAACCCCCACGGCACGGATTCACATGCACACAGATGCACGGACACACACACACGTGCATGCACACTTAAGACGTGTGGCATACACCTACAGTACACACAGATGCATGCATGTCTATATTCACATGCACACTCACGCGTGTACAGACACACTCAGGCATAGACACCCCACATGCACTCACACACGTGCACAAATATGCACACACTTGTTATGTGTGAGTGTGTATGTGTGTGTATATATATATATATATACTCACACATAAAGACACATACACATGCACACATCCATGCATGCATGCACGCACGCACACGCACACACACACGTCCGTTCTTGCACTTTCAGCCAAACTTTCCTTCGGCCTGAGGGTCTGCCTGGGACAGACCCTCCAGCCTCACTCGCACACTTGCAGTTGGTGACTCCTGGTACTGTGTCCATGCAGAGGGGAGCCATCCCTCCTGCTGGCCTTGGCCGGCCCCCTCCCTCCCAACAGCCCTTTTGGTCTCTGAGTCTCAGCCTGTGCCACCGCCAGGGCGGCCAGTGACTCTGCGGGCCCCTTTGCCTTGCTTCAGACTCGCCATCTGGGGAAGGAATTCCCGCTTCCCACGGCCAGACACATGTAAAACTTTTCCAGTGATCTCAGTGGAGTTTTTTTTTTAAGTAAACTTGTTAAATAACAATAACCAGGGGTTGGAGAGCTCCGAGGGGCTTAAAGAAGGCATCATACAGGCCACCTCCCTCATGTCTGCTGTCAGCGCCACACGGGCCCCCCAACGCCTCCAGGGGTGGCCCCGGAGGCCCCAGGATGGTCAGGGAGGCCAGAACTGCCCCCTCCCCTCATCAGCTCTGGCCCCACTGACCCACGGCAGTGCCACGCTCCGGGTGCAGGAGACCGGGGAGGGGGGGGTGTCTCTGGGTCCCAACAGCCACGGTGACCCGTGAAAGGGATGTGTGAGTTGTGGGTCTCGAGTGCATCCCAATAAGTCTGCAGGCTCGGGGATGTTGACCTCGGTTTGGGGACTCTGGGGGACACACCAACCCTGGGAGGCTGTGAGTGTCACCTCCCATGTCCCTGTGCCCCCAGGTCACACCCCTGGGCTGTGGCCCCTCTGCCTGGTCAGCCTTTCAGCTCCAGGGGGTCTGGTCCCCTCTCTGGGGGTCTCTCAGGAAGTTAGCTTGTCTAAGAACACTGTGCCCTCACCCCCCCCCCCCCATCCCCGCCACTCCCCACTCCACTCCCTGTCCCTGCGCTGCACTGCTGCCCCCTGCTGGCGAGGCTGTGCCTCACTCAGGCCGGCCGGGCACCCCTGAGTGCTCCAAGTCCCCCCCCCCCCCCCCCCCGTGATCTCCTGGGCTCTGCCACTGCATCTCGGACCCTCACACTCCACCACCACGACTGGCAGTCTGACTGCTGTGGAGAGTAGACCCCGAGGGCCCGAGTACTGCTTGGAAACCCTCATCTATCCCCCAACCCCATCTACCTGGGGCCCAGAGATGTGACACAGAGATATACCTTATGGAAGAGAGAGAGAGAGAGAGAGAGAGAGAGAGAGAGAGAGAGAGAGAGAGAGAGAGAGAGAGAGAGAGAGAGAGAGAGAGGAGAGAAGAGAAAAGAGAGAGAGGAGAGAGAGAGAGGAAGAGAGGGGGAGAGACCCTCTGCTCATCCAATGCCCTTCTCCAGAAGGCCCCACCAGCTAACAGGCACTCTGAACTGGGGGCAGGTCCCGGTCCGCTGCCCCTGCCCCATTCGGGGCCTCTGCTCTGGGGAACTTGTGGGAACAGGGGAGGCCCTCGGGGAGCACCGGCTCTGAGTCTGCACACCCAGAGCAGAACCCGCAGGGACAGGAGCACCAAGGGCGGGGTCACAGAGGAAGGCTTTCCTCCTGTGTCCCCTCAGAAGGCCCAGAGTGTCTGCTAGAAGGTTCTGTCTCCATCCAGCTCAAAGTGGCCTGTTGAGAAACGGGGCGGGAGAGGAGCTCCCTCCCTCGGACTCACCATGTCCTTGACCATCAAGTGTCCAGAGGCAAAGGCGATGGAGTTGGGGGGCGTCGACACCGGGAGCATGAAGGCATAGGAGCAGCTGACGGTTCCGGGGATCATTAAATACAGGGGGTGCACTCGCAGGCGGATGGCCTGGGGAAGGAGGGCGGGGGAGAGCGAGCCCCCCCAAGAAAAAGAGGAGGGGGAGAGGGAGAGAGGGAGAGAGAGGGAGGGAGAAGGAGAGAGAGGGAAAGAGAGGGAGGGAGAGAGAAAGGGAAGGAGGGAGAGAGAGGGAGATAGAAAGGGAGAGTGGGAAGGAGGGAGAAAGGAAGGGAGGGGGAGAGAGGGGAAGAGAGGAGGAGGGAAAGAGGGAGAGAAAGAGGGAGGGAGGGAGGGAGGGAGGGAGGGAGGGAGGGAGGAAGGAGAGAGACAGGAGCCAGAGTGACCATCAGCACGTGGACAGCCGTTGGCCAGCGACAGAGCCAGAGCAGCAGACGAGGGGAAAAATCAGAGACCCGAGCAGAGGCAGCAGAACCGGGCAGGGGCAGGAGGAAGGGAGGGAAGGAGAGAGCCAAGAACATCCGGTCAGTGACATTCAGGGGAACCGCAGAGAAGGGGCTGGGGTGCCCCCCCGCGCAGGGCTTCCCCCCCACACACACACACACAGAGCGGCTGCCTCCACCCTGCCGTGCTGGAGTCTGGGGCTGGGACATACTGCCGAAGCCCGCAGTCCCCATATCTACGTTCCAGTGCTTCTCCGAAGCATCCACAGCTGCTCTCTGGGCACCTCCCTCTGGGCTCCCTCCGGGATTTCAGGGACTTCGAGCGAGCTCATGGGCTATGTGGGAGCCATCAGTTCTGTGGCATGTCATGGAAGGGGGCGCTGTTCGCACCCCTGGGTGGGGGGGCTTTACCAGAGCAGCGGGAAAGCAGAGCACAGATGCTTCTTCCCACCCACTCAGACCCCCACCTTGTGTGTGAAAGGTTAGGAATTTGGTGATGAGAAGAATGTGTCCCCTGCAAGCATCTCCACCAAAGACTGTCACTGGTCCCTGCTGCCTGTCCTCCCTCTGACCCCTCCTAGGACCCTCCTCTCACTAGCGTGGTCCCTGGGGGGACGGTCAGTGCCCCCCCACACTGGGACCGCTTCCTCTCGCCCCCTGCTGGTAGAAGTGGGTAATGGCACAGCGCCTTCCTGGGAGGATTTGGCTGGCGCAAAAGAAACCCTCAGTGAACAAACTCTTACAAACGCTGGCATCAAAGTTCCCTCAGAAAACAGCAAGTCCAGACACAACCTGTTATGTCCACTGGTAAAGATATCTGAAGCATGCGACAGCCCCGGACCCGTAACGGAGCAGGCATTGAAAAAGAACAAAAAGGGTCTCTCGGTGGGAGGGGGCGGGACACCGGCATCAGTGGATGCGAAAATAAATTCAAAAATAGAAACAAAGGGTTTCAGATAAGTGCGCGGGGCACCCAGCTGTCTGCATGCAAAGCAGCTCCTTGCTGCGCTGATTTAATTTGAGCAACATTTGATTGTTGATTTGGGGGCCACACCTGGTGGTGGGTGCTGCGCCCAGGGGTCACTCCTGGCAGTGCTCAGGGGACCACGTGGGGGTCCAGGGGACCGAAGTCAGGTAGGCTGCATGCAAAGCCAGCCCCTTACCCACTATACTGTTGCTCAGTCTCCATTGATTGAGTTTAGATGGAGGAAGCCCTTGGTTTGGTCTCCTCTGACTCACTTCGTGTGGAACGCTGTTGGCGGTCCCCTATGCTAATTGGTTTGGGGGCAGACAGGTAAGGCGCAGAGGACACTGCCTGGACGCGATGTGTGTTACCTCTCAGCATGTCCTGCTCCTCTGTACCCCACATCTCTGCCCAGTTAGCCCCAATCTCCACTTCTTTCTGCTCTGCTCCTGGTTTGGCTCTGGGGTTGGGGCTTGGTTTATTTAACGTTACACCTGCACCTGCACGGGATTTGCTCTCTTTCTGGGCCCTGGAGCCCGGTGGGTAAGGCGAGGACTAGCTCACCCCCTGCCTGTGGGGTCACCCGCTCTCGAGGGACTAGCTTACCCCGGACTGTGAGAAGCAAGCCCCCTGCTTCTCAGCTGGGGACCCCCTTCTCCTGCAGGGCACCTTCTGCAGACACTGAGGACTGTCACCATTTACAGGGCGCTGCCGGCACCTAGTGGTGGACGCCGGGAATGCAGCCCCACGTCCTAACCGTCACCCCACAACCTCAGTACTGCAGAGGGCCCAGGGCCGCCTGGGCTCCCCCGTTAGACGTCTCCTGGTTCTCTGCTCCGGCTTAATCCAAATCCAACAACCTACAGCGTCCTAGAAAACTCTCCCCCGGAAGGAATTCGGTGCCTTTCAAAAATATTTACTCAGTTCGAAGCAAAAAAAACAAAAAACCCCCCCCAAAAAAAACCCCAACTAGATGGATTTTAAAGAAACAGTGCTCCTGCCCACCCCGTGCACTCTGGGATGCGCCCTACCCACTGCACTATCGCTCCAGCGCTCCACCCACGTGCTTTGGGAGAGACGCGTGACAGCGACTAGGGTAGGTGGCGCTTGGCCCTGGGAGAAGGGACTGAGAGCCTAAGTGACGCCCCCTCCTCCTTGCGCCCCGCCCCCTCCTCCCTGCCATGCCCACCAGCCATGGCCCCGCCCAGATCCGCTTAGACCACGCCCCCTGTCACGCCCACCAGTCATCGCCCCGCCCAGGCCCCGTTTAGGCCACGCCCAGCCATACCCACCCCATATCTGCCCCACCCCTGTCAGGCTCCGCCCCACCCTCACCAGGCCCCGCCCCCTGTGGCCTGGCCCCGCCCCTATGGCCTGGCCCCGCCTCCGCCCGTCACGCCCCACCACGCCTCGCCCCGCCCAGACCCCCATCCCTGCCGCCCCTCACCCCAGCCTCACCAGCTCCGCCAGAACCGGCAGGAAGATGATGATGGTGGCCGTGTTGCTGGCGAACTCGGTGAAGAAGGCGATGACGGCGGTGATGAGCAGCACGGCCAGCAAGGGCGGGAGGGCCTCCAGCGGCTGCAGCTGTCCGCCCATCCACGTGGACAGCCCCGACTCCTGCGGGGAGGCAAGCCGTGGCCTCGCACGCCCCGCGGGAGGCCGGGACCCGTGGACATCTCTCACTCGTCCACACCCTGCCGCGCCGAGGCCCAGAGATTGCACTTCGTGCCTGTACCCCTCGGCCGGGACTCGACTGGCAGAGGCCCAGCCGGCCCTTGGTGCCCTGTCTCCCCAGGCCGGTGGCCAGCGGCCAACGTTTGCACGCTCTCTGTACAAAACCGGCTCCCAGATGGAGGGCGAGTCTGTGCTAGCAAGCTCCTCTGCTTCGACTAGATACTAAATATGCAAAACTTGCTACACGAGGGGTCTGTACAGCACAGCCGTGGTCACCCACGATAAAGACCCTTGCGATCCACAGTCACTGTGACGGTGACAGGATTAGCAGGACACACTGACATCATTAACACCCTGGGGCGGGGGGGTTGGTATGCTTGGGGGCCGCACCTAGCGGTGACTCTGCTCGAGGACCACTCCTGGCAGGTTCCCATGGGCCCCGTGTGGTGCTGAGGATCAGACGTGGGCTGGCTGTGTGCAAGGCAAGCTCCCGACCTGCTGACCGATCTTTCTAGCCCAACTCTGCACCGTCATGCTTGTGCACAAGTTACCATATTGCCGCGTGGAGCCGGTGACTGCAAACACAAGTGTCCCTGTGTTAGGGAGACCTGTGCAGTTTCGGTGACTTTCCCCGGGCCCTCCAGAGACTGAATTCCACATCAGAGTATGCACGAATATGAGTCTCCACCCAAGCAAGCTCTGCTAGAAATACCAGCCGGTCACAGGAGCACTGAATACAGAGCAAGGCTGGGGCTGACTGCCGCTCCCCCCGGGACAGGGCGTGGACAGGCGGGACTGTCCCTCCTGCTCCATCCCAGGCTGGATTGGCTGGTCCATGATTTACCCTCTGGATAAATATCTATGAATCCTCTTTCACCGCCTGCCACCCAATGCGGTAGAGCACCACACCCAGAGGGTGTCAATGCTGCCCCCTAAGGGTGCTGTGCAGTACTGCTCCAGCCTCCTGGAGGTCACTTTTTTTCTTTTTTTGCTTTTTGAGTCACACCTGGCAATGCACAGGGGTTACTCCTGGCTCTGCACTCAGGAATTACTCCTGGCAGTGCTCAGAGGACCCTATGGGATGCTGGGAATCGAACCCGGGTCGCTGCATGCAACGCAAATGCCCTACCCGCTGTGCTATCACTCCAACCCTGTGGTCACTTTTTAAAACACAGACACAAGAACACAGATCCTTGATCCTGGCCAAAGCTGGTCAGTGGTCACCACTGAGAATCAAGTGGACGTCAGTGGACACCTCTCCATCTGCCCAGCATCCTCTGGTGCCCAGACTCTCTGGCTGACCCGCAAAACTTGACATCTTCTTTGTCTGCTTAATAGAACTGAAAATGTCCTCACGGATTCTGGATTTTGTTTGTCTGACAAAAATAACATGATTTCAAAAACAGACCCTATAATTAAAAAAAAAATGCTCACGAACACTTTCCACAGAAGCAACCTGGAAGGTCCCGGCGTTTCTTCTCCATCTGATGGTGGGAGGCTCAGGGCTGAGCCGGGCCCCACCCCTACCATGGGCCAGGGAACCCTGCCAGGGAAAACGGGGCCATGCACCCCCACCCCACGGCCCCGCGCTCCTCGTCCCTGCCTGGTCCCCTCAGCCAGGTCAGCCGCAGCTCTGGCTCAGAGGCCGGCAGCCGTGCCCTGAAAGGCCAGGGGTGGGGAGCAGGAATGTTAATGCCCTGAGAAGCCCAGCTTGCGGCCCAGCTCCCGGCTGGCACTGCTCTGGGTCTCAGCTGGGCCTCTGCCGTGGGGCCGACTGTGGGTGCCTGGAAGCTCCTGAGTCCCAGCTTTTAGGGCTCCCGGGGGTGGAGCATCTCCGAAGGCCTTTCCTTTAGGTCCTGAAAGCTTCCTCTCCTCAGAAGCCCATCCCACACCCTATGCACACACACACACACACATACACACATACGCACATATATATGAACACACATACACTCACATATACACATACACACGCATACATAAACACATACATACACACATACACTCACATTCATACATGCACACATATACATAAACACACATAACATACATAAACACACATGCACACATACAAACATACATAAGCATACATACACACATGCACACATATACACATACACACATACGCACATACACATATACATAAACACACACACATACACACATACATAAACACACATACATGCACACATATACACACAAACACATACACACATACACGCACATGCACATACACATACACATATACATAAACACACACGTACACATACACACATACACACTTACACACATGCACACATATGCTCATACACACATACACACATATACATAAACACATACATGCACACATACACACATACATAAACACACATACACACATGCAAACATGCACACATATACACACATACACACATACACATATACATAAACACATACATACGCACACACATAAACACACACATGCACATATACACATACACATATGCACACACATACACACATACACACATACACACATATGCTCATACACATATAAACACATACATAAACATACCCATGCACACATACATACATAAGCACACATACACACATGCACACATATACATACATACATATGCACATACACACATACACATATACATAAACACACATACATAAACACACATGCACACATATACACATACACACATGCGCACATACACATATACATAAACACACACGCACACATACACACATACATAAACACACATACATGCACACATATACACACAAACACGTACACACATACACACATATGCACATACACACATACACATATACATAAACACACACGTACACATACACACATACACACATATGCTCATACACACATATACATAAACACATACATGCACACATACACACATACATAAACACACATACACACATGCAAACATGCACACATATACACACATACACATATAAACACATACATACGCACACAAATAAACACACACATGCACATATACACATACACATATGCACACACATACACACATATGCTCATGCACATATAAACACATACATAAACACACACATACACACATACACATATATGCTCATACACATATAAACACATACATAAACACACCCATGCACACATACATACATAAGCACACATACAAACATGCACACATGCACACATATACACATACACACATACACAAACACACATATGCACATACGCACATACACACATATACATACATAAACACATACACACATACATACACACAAATGCACACATACACACATATATACATATACACATATAACACACATACACACATATACACATAAACACACATACGCACATACGCACACATACACACACACATTCCAAGGGCTCAGCACTGGCTGAGGGGGAGGAGAGAAGACTCCACATGTTCCCCACATTGTCCTTCCCACTGGGTCACCCCTGACAGGTCACTCACCTGCTCTGGGCCTCAGTTTCCTCATCTCTAAGGGGGGTATTATAGCTGCTGTCCCGGAGGCAGGTCACGCTGGGAGAATGAACGCGTTTACAAAGTGCTTGGAGAAGCCAGGCCAAAGCTGAGGTGTGACACCCATGGCCGTGTCCCGCTAGTCAAACTGAGTTCCTTATGGCACCCAGGGGTGCCCGGAGGTGCCTGAGGCCAGACACAGGATGGGGCGGGGCTGAGCTGAGGGAATGCTGCCCCCCCCATCCCACCTCCTTGCTGGCTCAAAGGGTTCTTTCTTCTTGATACCTTTTCCAAGGAACAACAACTTCAGTGTTTAGGGTCCAATCTCACAGAAAATGACCCGTGGGAATTCCGAGGTAGAGAGAGCCAGCACAGTTGGTTAAAGGAAAGAAGAAAAAAAAATGTGTGTGCGTTCAAACCACTGTATTGCTACCATGCTGTGTGACCTGGGGCAAATTAATGCACGTCTCTGTTCCAGTACTATTTCTTTTTATGGACTGCACCCAACAGTGCTCAGGGGGCACGCAATGCTAGGAACTGAACTCAGGGCCTCCCACATGCTAGCCTTGTGCTCACCACTTCAACTACCTCCCTGGCCCTGTCCTGTGATTTCTTCAAGGGATTGCGGTAGATTTAATGATTAGACATAAAGACAGTTTCTGAGCCCAGGAAGTGCTGCGACTGATTTGTTATTAATTACTTCATTTAACAAATAGCTAATAATGTGTCATATAATACATTCTGTCTGAGCATGTTACAAACGTCTTTGCTAAGATGAATATATCTCGCCTTTGTGACAACACTGAGTGGAAAACAGTATAATGACACTCACAGTTGGAGAAACCGAGGCACAAAGAGGTTGAGATTCACCCAAATAAGTGAAATGGCAATGGAATTTAAGCTCAGAATTGGGTCCGTAATAATGTTATCAGTCTGCCTAATGGAATAATAAAATGAAAATACTGAACCAGAGCGACAGCACAGCAGGGAGGGCATTTGCCTTGCACGTGGCCGACCTGGGTTCGATCCCCAGCATCCCATACGGTTCCCTAAGCACCGCCAGGAGTGATCCCTGAGTGCAGAGCCAGCCAGGAGTGAGCTCTGAGCATCACCAGTGTGGTCCCCCGAAAAAAAGAAAGGGGGGGGGCGAAGAGAGAGAGAGGGAGGGAGAGAGAGACAGAGAAAGAGAGAGAGAGAGCAAGAGAGAGAGAGAGAGGAGAAAGAGAGAGAGAGAGAGAGAGAGAGAGAGAGAGAGAGAGAGAGAGAGAGAGAGAGAGAGAGAGAGAAGGGCGCCAGGGTTAAGGTGCTCGCCTTTCATGAGGCTGACCAAGGTCCCAGGGCTGTGGTCCCCCAGGCACTTCCAGAAATGACCACTTAGCACAGCACCGGGAGGTGTAATCCCTGTGACTGCCAGGTGTAACCTAATTCTCCCAACCAATAAAACAGACCCAGGGAGATGTTGCAGAGTCTGCGTGCATGTGTGTGAATGTGTATGCGTGTGTGCATGTGTGTGTGTGTACGCGCATGTGAGTGTGTGTGTGTGTGTGTGTGTGTGTGTGTGTGTGTGTGTGTGTGTGAAGGTCCGCGTGCAGACCCAGCACCGCGTGGTTCCCCCACCCCAGAACTGCCAGAGGTAGTTCCTGGGGGCTTCCAGGGTTTGCCCCCCCAAACAAATGAAAAACCCAGTAACTTAAGAACAATGATGACAGGAACAAAATGACAACTCTGGTCTCCAGCCGGCAGGAAATGAGGGATGAGGAGGGACTGGCCTTGGGGGTGGGGGTGGGGTTCATGCTAATTTCACGAGTTTCCCGTCCAGACTCTCCCCCTGCCCTGGGGAATCCAAGCAGGAGGGAGGCGCCGTGGCTCCGCCCCCACCAGCGAGCCGCCTGCGGTCCCGCACGCTTCCGCCCTCTGCTGGTCATGTTTGCACCTGCACTCTGGCAGGGACCCCCACCTCGTGAGACTCCCCCTCACCAGGATGGGGAAGGCAGGGCTGGCCCCTGCCCTCAGGGGCAGTCATTCTAGTAGGAGGAACCGGAAGAGATGAATGGGATAATTGGGGTGGGAGAGGTACTGGGGGAAGCAAAGAGCTGGGTGGCATGGGGTGGAGGGGGGGGACTTAGAAGCTGTAGTGCTTGGTTTGTACCTGGGAACCCCGGGTTCCGCCCCTAGCACTGCATGAGTCACAGAAAGAGAGTCTCCTGGGAGGGCTTCTTGGAGGAGGTGACCTTGGAGGTGAGTCCTGAAGGGTGAGGACAGGGAGGGCTCAGGGACGAGCAGGAGCAAGAGGAGAGCGCTGAGCTCTGGGGCAGCCAAGGGTCCGGTGTGGACGGGGTGACATGAAGGGGCCAGCAGGGCAGGGGACGGTAGGAGGTGACAGGAAAATGTGCCGAGCCAGTCTGAGCCAAGAGAACCTTCAGGCTCCATCTAAGTCAGTGTGAAGCCGGGACAGCAGGAAGGGGCTTTGGGGGGCAGGAGGGCCCCAGGAAGCTGCCTGGGCACCGCAGTGACCTTGGGGTGCGCTGCCACCTGGAGCCCCCAGACACTGTCAGGACCCAGAGGACCGGGGCTGGCGGTGGATGGGCTGTGCAGTGAGGATGCTGCCCCCTCGGCTGGACACTGTACCCTTGTTGCCCAGAAGCCCTGGCCCACTCCCAGCCCTGGGATGGCCACCAGCCTGGCCTCCCGGCGATCTCCGCCCTCACCAGCCCCCACCCCGGGGCCTGGCCTGGCCACCCCCAGTTCCTAAAGCCACTGGGGTGCGGGGCTTGTCCTCGGTCTGCGGTAAATGGTGCCTTTTCGGTCTGGGGGTTTCCAGAGGACGGAACCTCCATCTCCTCCTTCACCCCCGGCCAGTCAGGCGCCAAGTCCGTGACCTTTCACCCCTGGCCAGGCAGGGGTGACCTGTGCTGAGGCTGCCCACATAGGGGCCTATGGGACCCGAAAACTGGGCCCAGGCCTCAGGACACAGGGAAGGGCTGGCCCTGCTCGCAGCTGACCGGGTTCAAGCCTCAGTGTCCCGAAGGAGGTCTGACGCTCTGCCAGGAGTGATCCCTGAGCACAACTAGGTCTCTCTCTGTCTCTGTTTCTCTGTCTCTCTGTCTCCGTCTGTCTCTGTCTCTCTCTCTCACACACACATACACACACACACCCCAGAAAAATCCACAAAAAGACCCAGTGAAACAAGTCTGTGAGGTGGGCCCCACCCACTGAGAGGAAACTGAGGCAGCAGCTCTGAGGTAGAAGCCTGGCGCCTCCCACCCAGTGGTCTGCACGGTACCTGCACGCCCCCCCTGGTCACTCCCTTCTGGAAGCCTCCCTGACCCAGCTCCCATCGGAGGCAGAGCTGAGAAGGATGAGCCGAAGGCGCTCAAATCCCAACCCTGCGGCGAAGGGCAAACCAACATTATCCTACAGGCGACCCGGCCACTGCCCGTCCCGCTCACCTCGCAGGCCTTGGCCATGGCGAAGCCCCCGCCCAGCAGGAGGATGATGTTCCAGGGCACCGTCTCCTGGGCCTTCCTCCACGTCAGCAGCGGCGGCGTCTCGGCACTGGGGGCTGCAGGGGCAGGGGATTCAGCACTGGGGGCCAGAAGGCTCCTAGTGGGGCTCCCCAGGGACCCGCAGTTTGGCTCCCAGGCTTTGGGGAACACCCCACGGGGGGTCCCCGCTCCCTCCGAAAGCAAATCGTTTGGGGGTGGAGCCATAGCGCAGCACGGCCAGCCAGGGTTCGATCCCCGGCATCCCATCGGGTCCCCCAAGCACCGCCGGGAGTGATCCCTGAGAGCAGAGCCAGGAGTAAGCCCTGAGCACTGCCGGGTGTGCCCCCTCTCCAACAAAAACAAGCAAAAACGCGAATCCTTTCCCAGGTCCACAGTGGAGACACCCTCGAGGCTCTGGGCAGCCCCCTGGTGTGGGTCTCTCCACCTCCGGGACAGGAGGGAACGGTCCCGCCAGGAAGAAGGGGAGAGGCGGTAGGTGGGGCGGGGGGGACAGAGAGGGCCCCAGCCTCGGGGCAACTGGATTCTCGGGGACAGATCTGGGAGTGAGCGTGACCCGTTCTGGTCTGCGAGCACTCACGGAGGAGTCCATCTCCCTGGGGGGAGGGCTGAGGCAGGAGCTCAGTCCCAGACCGCCCCTCATGGCCTGCCTTGACCTGAGCACCCAGCGGGCCGTGAGGACAGGTGGGGGCTGTTCTGGGGGGCCTGCAGGGTGCCTCCATGTCTGGCCCTGCTTGCCCAGGAACTGTTTTTTTTTTTCCTTTAAAATAATATAGGAGCACTGCTATTTGTTCAGCCATTGATTAAGCTGAGTGAATTGGGCATGAACTCCACAATACCCTTTTTTTTTTAATTGTATCACCATGTGGGGCTGGAGTGATAGCACAGTAGGTAGGGCATTTGCCTTGTACGCGGCTGACCTGGCCGACTCCAGTTCGATTCCTCTGTCCCTCTCAGAAAGCCCGGCAAGCTACTGAGTGTATCTCGCCCGCACGGCAAAGCCTGGCAAGCTACCCATGACGTATTCAATATGCCAAACACAGTAACAAGTCTCACAATGGAGATGTTACTGGGCCCGCTCGAGCAAATCAATGAACAACGGGAGGACAGTGACAGTGACAGATCACCATGGGCTGGAGAGATAGCACAGGGGTAGGGCATTTGCCTTGCGCGCAGTCAGCCTGGACGAGCCGGGTTCAATTTCTCTGCCTCTCTCGGAGAGCCCGGCAAGCTACTGAGAGTATCTCACCCACTCGGCAAAGCCTGGTAAGCTCCCCGTGATATATTAAATATGCCAAGCACAGTAACAAGAAGTCTCAAAATGGAAACATTACTGGGCCCGCTTAAGCAAATCCATGAACAATGGGAGAACAGTGCTACAGTGCTACAGTATCACCATGAGACACAGTTACAAGCTTTCATGTTTGAGATTCAGCCGTGCAATGATGGAACACCCATCCCTCCACCAGTGCACATTCTCCACCACCAATGTCCCCAGTTTCCCACCCTGTATCCCCCCATCCCCCCCCCACACACACATCCCAGTCCTTATCCTGCCTCTATGGCAGACAATTAGCCCAGGGACTCTGGTGGGCAGGGAAAGGTCCCTGATGTGAGTGTCCCCTCGGCAGCCGAGGCGGGGCAGGCAGGAGGGGGAGCAGGAGGTTCCACCCCGTGCCCGGCCCTGCAGTGTCCACACCGAGGGCTCCCCTAGCTCCTGGCGTTGATCCCCATTGCTCCTTCCCATCTCTGCCCACATCCTACAGCTCCACAGAGCACGAGCTTCTGATGGGGAGGCAGAACACAGCGCTAGGGGCTAGAACCGCGGGGACACCTGGAGATGGGGAAGGGGTGGTTCAGGGGGTGCAGAATTCCACGAGAAAACTGTATTTCATTGAAGAGGCAGCCAGGTACCCAATAGCCATCTAATATATCCAGGATATACAAGACACTAGTAGAATTGTGCAAGAAAAGAAAAAAAAAACCTCCAACCCCATCAAAACATGGGGAGAAGAAATGAACAGAAGCTTCCTTAAAAAAGAAATACAAGGGGCTGGAGCTATAGCACAGCGGGTAGGGCGTTTGCCCTGCACGCGACCGACCTGGGTTTGATTCCCAGCATCCCATAGGGTCCCCTGAGCATCGCCAGGAGTAATTCCTGAGTGCAGAGCTAGGAGAAACTCCTGAGCATTGCCAGGTGTGACCCAAAAAGAAAAAAAAAAGAAAGAAATACAATTGGCCATCAAGCACATGAAAAAATCTCCACATCGCTAATCATCAGGGAGATGCAACTCAAAACAACAATGGGATAACGTCTCACACCACAGAGACTGGCATACATTCAAAAGAACAAAAGCAACCAGTGCTGGCACGGATGTGGGGGGAAAAGGATGCCCTTTCACTGTTGGTGGGAATGCCGACTGGTCCAGCCTTTTTGGAAAACAATATGGGCATTCCTTCAAAAACTAGAAACTGAGCTTCCATATGACCCAGCAATACTACTTCTGGGAATATATCTCGAGGGTGCAAAAGCAGCGTAGAAATGACATCTGCACCTGTATGTTCATTGTGGCACTGTTCACAATAGCCAGAATCTGGAAACAACCTGAGTGCCCGAGAACAGATGACTGGTTAAAGAAACTTTGGTACATCTACACAATGGAGTACTATGCAGCTATTAGGGAAGATGAAGTGGATGATCATGGAGAGTGCCATGCTAAGTGAGATGAGTCAGAAAGAGAGGGACGGACATAGAAGGAACTGCACATGAAATTATTCATTTGCGGAATATAGCACAGCTGGTAGGGCGTTCGCCTTACAAGCGGCCAACACGGCCGACCCGAGTTCGATTCCTCCGCCCCTCTCGGAAAGCCCGGCAAGCTACCGAGAGTATTCGATATGCCAGACACAGTAACAACAAAGTCTCCAATGGAGACGTTACTGGGCCCGCTCGAGCAAATCGACGATCAACGGGAGGGCCTTTACTTTACTTTTACTTAATATGAGACTGACATCCAAGGACAGTAGAGAGAAGGGCCAGGAATACTGCCCCATAGTTGGAAGCCTGTCCCCTGAGCTGGGGGAGAAGGCGGCTGGGATCACTAAGACAATGATGGTTGGAGAAATCAGTCGGGATGGGAGATGAAGTAGATAAAGGACCAAACGTGAAAGCTACTCAGCATCTGTGTCCCAGTATCTTACAAACCATCATGCCCAAAAGTAGAGAGAGAGTATGGGGGAAATTGTCTGCCATGGAAGCAGAGGGAGGGTTGGAAAGGGGGGGTAGACTGGGGACATTGGTGGTGGGGAATGTGCACTGGTGGAGGGATGGGGGTCCGATCATGGTATGACTGAAACTGGGCTGGAGCGATAGCACAGCAGTAGGGTGTTTGCCTTGCACAGGGCCGACCTGGCTGACCCAGGTTCGATTCCTCTGCCCCTCTCAGAGAGCCCTGCAAGCTACCAAGAGTATCTCACCCGCACGGCAAAGCCTGGCAAGCTCCCCGTGATGCATTTGATATGCCAAACACAGTAACAAGTGTCACAGTGGAGAGTTACTGGGTCCGCTCGAGTGAATCGATGAACAATGGGAAGACAGGGACAGGGACAGGGATGACTGAAACTCAAATATGAAAATTGTAGCTCACGGTGATTCAATAAAATAATTAATAATAATAATAAAGAGGCAGGCGGGGTCTGGAAGGGGCAATGGGACCCCAAGTCCCTCTGTCCCCTTTGCTGACCACAGCTGCCTCTCCCTCAGGGCACCCACCTGCCAGATTCCCACACACAGGACCACCACCCCCCGTGCCCTCTGCACTGTCTCCCTGGTGACACGGGGTGAACTGTGCTGGTGGGCACCAGACACTCCCCCACCGGGGAGCCGTGAGCAGGAGGGTGAGAGGAGGCTGGACGTTCCCACCAAAAGGGAGGGATCCCGAAGGAGGGGGCCTCTGAGAGGAGAGGAGGCTTTGGGGGTCTACAGAGGTCCCCGGGGCAGCAGCATGTAGGGAGCTGAGAGCCAGCGGCGAGGTCTAAGGGGCCAAGGAGGGGAGCCGGGGGGCCCGAGAGCCTTCAGCCCGCACCTCCTCCTCCATCTGTTCCTGCCTCACCACTCCTGGGGAAGGACCTGGAAGCATCTCCACCCGCTCCCCCGAGACATTCCACCTGCTCCCAGGGACCCTGGGCCAGGACACGGGGATCATGAGGTGTCACAAGGCCAGGGGCACTTCCTTGGCACTCTTGCTGGGTTACCCCCAAGCAATCTCTGGGTCACGCAGGGCTATTCGGGTTGGGGGCGTCACTGAGGTTCTGCAGCTGAACCTGAGAGCAGGGGTGTGGGGCGGGGTGTGCGTGTGTGTGGGGAAAGTCCTTCCTGTTTCTTGCTGCACCCCTGCCTCCTTCCTGCCCCAAGGTGCCATCAAGGATCACGCCGGAAGTATTCGGGGCTTGGAGGCAAAATCAAGATTTTGAGGGGCAGTTCGAAGCCGGATGAGGACTGCTGTGAGCACTTTTTTGGGGGGGAGGGTCACACCTGACTATGCTCAGCAGTTCTTCCTGGCTCTGCACTCAGGAATTACTCCTGGCGGTGCTTGGGGGACCATATGGGATGCTGGGAATCGAACCCGGGTCGGCCGTGTGCAAGGCAAACGCCCTACCCACTATCGCTCCAGCCCCTGTGAGCACAGTTTTATTGAAGGCCTGAAGACTCTATTTCTGGCTCCCGAGGTTTGAATTGCACAGAAGCTTCTTAAGTATCACGAATGGGTTTTCTTGTGATGCTTTTTGGCGGCATCCAAACGGGAAGGTTAGGACAGAAAGAGAGGAGAGGAGCGAAGGTGCTGGCCTCGTTGCAGCCCTCCGGGTTGGTCCCCAGCTCTGCAGACGCCTCCCCCGGCACCACTAAGAGACCCCCAAGCACAGAGCTGGGTGCAGCCTCTGAGCACTTCTGGGCAATGCCTCACCCCCTGCCAACCCCCCCAAAATGTGAAAGTTCTTCTCCCGCGGGCGATACCAGAGCAGCCAGCCAGCTGGATCTGGGCTCCAGGTCTGGGCAGCCGTCCTGCCACCTCAGGCCTTTCTCAGCCTGGGCCAGGGACACGGGCCAGGGTCTGTGGGCGGGGCTGTGGGCAGGGCAGTGGCCATGGTTCTCGGAGCCCCGAGCACCCACCTTATCCTTTTTTTTTCTTTTTGGGTCACACCTGGCGATGCTCAGGGGTTACTCCTGGCTCTGCACTGAGGAATGACTCCTGGCGGTGCTCGGGGGACCCTATGGGATGCTGGGAATCGAACCCGGGTCGGCCGTGTGCAAGGCAAACGCCCTCCCTGCTGTGCTATCGCTCCAGCCCCCCACCTTACCTTTGAGGTCAAACCACCACTTGAGAGAGGGCCTTTGGGACGGGAAGAAAAACAAGATGATGACAATGGTCATGCCGGTGACAGCGTCAGACACATACCTACAACGACAAGGCCCAGAGAAATGACCCCAGATGCAGACCCCAGCAGCTCCTGTGACGGGAAGCGGAGGTAAGGTGGGAAAGTCAGGGGGTGGGGTGGGGGTGGGGGACACAGCCCCTGTGCCCTCTGCTTGGCTGCAAAGACCAGGGTGGGAAAAGCTCTCAGGCAGTCCGTGAGAAGCCAAGAATGCCCTGCATGTGGCCAGGGTCTGCTTGTTCTCCTTCTGGGATGGGTGGCTCACTCCATAGTGCTCTGTTCCAGCAGCAGAGCATGATCCCAGCATGCCACGGGGCCCCTCCAGAACCGCCTCAGGCCCCAGCCTGTCCTGGGCAGATGAGGCTCACCCCTTGGGCGCAATGACCCAACATGCCTGCTCAGGGTCAGATCACGGGATGGGGAGGGACAGGACCCTGAAGCCAGGATTTCTGGCTCTGGGCCAGCTGTTAACAAAAGCGCCTCCAGCACACACATTTGGTGAGAGGACTCAGATGCGTCCCTGCGGCTGTGGTAAGACAAAAGTCAGTAGGAACAGGCCGGCACAGCGGCTGCTGGGGGCAGAGTCACATAGGGGCTGGGGGTCGGAAGTGCCGAGACCTCACGGGTGACACCCTCCTGGACTTAGTTACTACACATCTAAAAACTGATCTCAGGAAATAACTGGACTCAAACACACAGGGCCCAGGGATGGCCATGCATGCTCAAGAAGGGCTTGTGAAGAGCCAGAAACTTTTCATCTGCTTCAATACATTGTGCATAATGATATGTATACATATATATGTTAATATTACAGTTGTGTAAAGATAATCGAATGATGATGAAGTGGCATGAAAATGAGACTAAGGTATTTTATTTATTCATTTATTTATTTGCTTTTTGGGTCACACCCGGCGATGCACAGGGGTTCCTCCTGGCTCATGCACTCAGAACTACTCCTGGCGGTGCTTGAGGGACCATATGGGATGCTGGGAATCGAACCCGGGTTGGCCACGTGTAAGGCAAATGCCCTACCTGCTGTGCTATCGCTCCAGCCCCAACTAAGATATTTTATAATGCTCGGAAAGGTTTTTTGTGGGTGGGCTACACCTGATGGTGCTCAGGGTTTTTTCCTGACTCTGTGCTCAGGGATCACTCCTGGCTCTGTGTTCTGTGACGGGGAACTGCATGTGATGTGTGGGGGAACTGAATGTGATGCGTGGGGGAACTGCATGTGATGTGTGGGGGAACTGAATGTGATGTGTGGGGGAACTGGATGTGATGTGTGGGGGAACTGAATGTGATGCGTGGGGGAACTGGATGTGATGCGTGGGGGAACTGAATATGAATTGTGGGGGAACTGGGTGTGATGCGTGGGGGAACTGGGTGTGATGCATGGGGGAACTGAATGTGATGCGTGGGGGAAGTGAATGTGATGTGTGGGGGAACTGGATGTGATGTGTGGGAGAATTGGATGTGATATGTGAGGGAACTGGATGTGATGCATGGGGGAACTGAATGTGATGTGTGAGGGAACTGAATGTGATGCGTGGGGGAACTGAATGTGATGTATGGATTTGCACCAGGGTCAGCAAAGGTGCAAGGCAAGCACTTTAAGGTGCAAAGTGTAAGGCTAGCACCTTAACCCCTAGACTATTTCCCTGCTTGCAAGTAATTTTTCCTTGTAGTATTGGGCACAATCCAAAAAGGAACTGATTAAACAAATTAATAGGCTTCTACTATAAAATACTAAGCAGTGATTTGAAAGGATGAAATAGGTCGAAAAATGCATGGTTGTCTTTGGCTCAACTTTTTGCAAATCAACATTTAGGCATGTGTCTGCTTTGATGCAGGTGTGAACGTGGGTTGCTAAAATATTCCTCCCAAACTCTTTATTGGGATTGTGTCGGGGGAGCGTGAGAGATGGTGGATGCAGGCAGCTTGACTTTTTCCATTCATGTTGTTTGGATTGTTATAATTTTATGCATACATATTTCATAAGCAAACAAGAGAAAAAAATGCAGGTCAAAATGGTATGTTTAGGGGCTGACGTGATATGATAGTTCAGCGGGTAGGACACTTGCCTTGCCAGCAACCTACCTGGGTTCAATCCCCGGCATCCCCGATGGTTCCCCAAACCTGCCAGGAGTGATCCTTAACAGAGCCAGGCGTAACCTCTGAACACCACCGGAAGTGGCCCCCAAACAAAAACAAACTCAAACAATGATCTGTTTAGTGTAACCACACTTCTGTTGTCAGGAGAGAGTATGCCCAGTTAGGGTTCCATCCCCAGCACCATGTGGTCCCCAAGTCTCACCACCTATAGATCCCAGCACTGCTGGGATGGCCCAGGTCATCCCTGGACCACGGAGTCCAATCAGCATTCTATCCTGGGACCCCTACATCGAACCATCAACCTGGTTGGCCAAAAACTGCCAGTGAAGCCCCGGGTCTCCTGAGCACTTCTTGGGAGCACCCCATGCCCCCCCAAATCCTATATTGGACTAGAGCAATAATACAGGGTTAAGGCACTCGCCTCGTAGGCAGCTGGCCATGGTTAGAATCCCATATGCAGCACAAATGGTCCCCAAGCACTGCCAGGAGCCCGGGGCATTTCCAGAGACAGACTTGTGCTAGGTGAGTTTCTCTAAATGAGCTTTATTGAAGAATAATTAAACCTGCATTAAAACACACTCGTTTAAAGGGTAGAACTCAATGAATTTTGGTGACTGTCAACAGGCCTGTAACAGACAATACCATTGAGTTATAGTTTCCAGTTAGGGGACCGGAGAGATAGGACAGTGGGGAGGGTGCTTGCCTTGCACATGGTTGACCTGGGTTCGATCCCCGGCATCCTAGATGGTCTCCTGAGTGTTGCAGTAGTGATCCCTGAGTACAGAGCCAGGGAAAATTGCTGAGAACTGTTGAGTATGGCCCCCAAATCAAAATAATAATAATAATAACAATAATAATAATAAAATCACGGTCCTCCCATTGTTCATTGATTTGCTCGAGCGGGCCCAGTAACGTCTCCATTGGAGACTTTGTTGTTACTGTGTTTGGCATATCGAATACGTCATGGGGAGCTTGCCAGGCTTTGCTGTGCGGGTGAGATACTTTCGGCAGCTTGCCGGGCTCTCTAGAGGGGTGGAGAAATCAAACTTGGGTTGGCCATGTTGGACACTTGCAAGGCAAACGCCCTGCCCACTGTGCTATAGTTCCAGCCCAATAATAAAATAAGAATAGTAAAATAAGAATAAATGTTTAAAAAGAATAGTTTCCAGTTAGATAATTTTATTTATTTTTGGCTACCGGCCACACCCAGTGGTGTTCAGGGCTTATGACTGGCTCTGCACTCAGGGGTCCCTCCTGGTAGTGCTCAGGGGACCATATATGGTGCCTGGGATTGAACCCAGATCAGTAGCATGCAATGCAATCACTTTACCTGCCGTACCATCACCTTGACCCATGTTAAACATTGTTAAGTCAGAGAAAATGAGCATCAGAGTTGGAGTCAGTGGTTTTCTCTTTCTTTGTATTTCTGGAATGTTTAGGATCCCCATTTCTCTTTCTTTCTTTTTCTTCTTCTTTTTTTTCTTTTTGAATCACACCCAGTGATGCTCAGGGGTTACTCCTGGCTCTGAACTTAGGAATTACTCCTGGCAGTGCTCAGGGGACCATGTGGGATGCTGGGAATTGAACCCAGGTTGGCTGCATGCAAGGCAAACACCTTACCCGCTGTGCTATCACTCCAGGCCCCCATTTCTCATCTAAACAAAAAGCACCTACAACTGGAAATTTAAAGAATGGTTGTAACAGCTACAGTTCTCAGCCCCATTGAATGACAATGCTTATCCTTCATAGTAAGAAATCAAAACTGAGGTCCCTCATTTATTGGGTGTGGGGTCTCAGGGGTCTGGGGTTCCCAGGAGGAAGTAGACAGAGCATCTCTATCCAACGTGGCTGGGCGTGGTCACTGCAATGGAAGAGAGACCCGAGTACCATCCTCCCATCCCTGCTGGCCAGACCCATCCAGTGTCCAGCCCTGCCCTGCCCGGTCCTCCCTCCTTTCCAGGCGGCCTTGCGGGCCCTCCCTCCAACTCCTCAGCTCTGCCTGTTCAGGCTCAGCACCTTCCCAGGGGCTCTCTCCACCTTTGACCTCTACCCTTTCTAACCTTTGTTCCTTTCCCAACATCCGAAGTCCAGGTTCCACCTGCATCTTCTAAAAAAAAAAAAAATCACGGCATTTCCTTTGATTCACTCACTCCCCTGTTTTGCGGGGGGGGTGGGTCTAACCGCCTGTGGTTTGGGGTTTGCGTGTGTGGGCTTCCGTGTGTGGTGCAAGGCGTGGAACTGGGCCTTAGGTGTGCAAGGTGTGTGCTCCCTGCTGAGCCGCCTCCTGGCCCCCAGGGACACGCAGGAGGACAAGGGCCCATGGGCCCTCCATCAGCATCGCCTGGCCGAGGGATTTGCTTTGCTCACAAGGCTTGTTGGAGGTGGGAATCAAACCCAGTTTTTTTTTGTTGTTGTTGTTTTTTTTTTTGCTGCCCGAGTCAGAATCTTAACATGCAAGAAGCCAAATATGGGGCTGGAGCTACCGCACAGTGGGGAGGGCGTTTGTCTTGCATGTGGCTGACCCGGGTTCAATCCCCAGCATCCCATAGGGTCCCCCAAGCACCGCCAGGCATAATGCCTGAGTGCAGAGCCTGGAGTAACCCCTGAGCATCACCAGGTGTGTGTGACCCAAAGAAAAAAAAAAGCCAAATGCTCCATCATCTGTACCCAAGCCCATTCGAGGGGAGCAGGAGAATGTTAGTTATGACCCGGGGCAAAAAGTAGGGGCCCAGCCCAATCTCTCCAGTTGCAGGAGGCCCACCCTAGCCCCCTCCCTGCCGGTCCCATCGCTTACCCAGGGAGGAAGAAATTGACCCAGCCAGGGATGAACTTAGGGTCCCGGGTGAAGAGGAAGACAGCGAACAAACAGAAGAGGATGAAGACCACCTGCTCGGCAAACCTGCAGCACAGACATGAGCTGGCGTGAGCCCGGGGTCCCGCGTGCATTTGGCGGGGGCTGGGCACGGGCAGGGACTCTCTGTATGTGACTGAGCTGGGCCCAGCCATGGAGAAGCTGGAAAGAGCAATTCACAGCTCTGCGAGCACCAGAGTCCAGGGAGGGGGATCCCCTGGGGTGATGGTCTCTGGTGCTCACATACTCCCCCTCACCCCCCGCACCCCCCACCCGCAACCCTCGGAAGTACCAGCCCCTCTCCTCCCCCAAATCATGCATTTTGTTTTTGCCTGGAAAACTCCCAGTGCCTAAGGAAAGTCTCAAGAAAGTGATAGAGACTGAGAAAGGAAACAGGGGTGGGGGGAGAGAGAGAGAGAGAGAGAGAGAGAGAGAGAGAGAGAGAGAGAGAGAGAGAGAGAGAAGAAATAGAAGAGAGCAAGAAGGAGGGAGGAAGGGAAAGGAGGAGTGAGAGAAGGGGGAGAGTGGAGAGAGAGGAAGGGAGGTAGGGAAGGAGAGAGGGAGGGAGAAAGAGAGGGAGAGGAAGGGAGAGAAGGAGAGAGAAGAGACAGAGAAGAAGGGTATTAGGGAAGGAGAGAGGAGAGAGAGGGTAAGAAAGGAGAGAGGGAGAGAAGAGAGAAAGAGGGAGAAAGGGAGAAGGAGAGAGGAAAGAGAGGGAGGGCAGGAAGGAGGGAAAGAGGAAGAGAAGGAGAGTGGAAGGGAGGGAGGGAGAGAGAGAAGAGAGAGAAATGGAGGGTGGGGAATGAGACAGTAGAGAAAGAAAGGGAGAGAGGAGGACAGGGAGAGAGAAGAGAGAGCAGGAAGGAGAGATGAAGGGAGAGGGGGAATGAGAGGAGAGAGGAGAGAGAGAGAAGAGAGGAATGGAGAGAGGGAGAGAGAAAAGAGAGGGGGAAGGGTGTTAGGGCAGAAGGGACGATAGAGAGAGGGAGAGAGGGAGAAGGAGAGAGGAGACAGAGGGAGAGAGGGAGGGCAGTAGGGAGGGAGAGAGGAAGAGAGGAAGGGAGAGAGGAGAGAGAGAAATGAAGGAGGAAGGGGAGAGGAGAGAGAAAGTGAGAGAGGAAGAGGGAGAAGAGAGAGAGCATCCCGGAAATAGATCAAAGGCTGACAGATGCTCAGAGAGGCTGGACAGAGGGGACACACAGGACAGGGATGGAGAGAGGAAACTCCCACTTCGGAGCACCCTATGTCCCTGGGCAGTGCGGGGGAGCAGGCGGAAAAGGGTCAGACCCCCATGCCCGCCAAGTCCACCCTGAGGCGTTGTGTGCGCTCCGAGGTCCCCCTCCACACACACACACACACACACACACACACACACACACACACTTCATAAACCTTCCTCTTGATGCTCCTATTCAGGCTCTCAGACCAGCAGTGGGAAAGGCAACCCAGAGCCCAGCACCCTGGAGATTGAGCTGAGCTCTAGATCAGCTGAGTAGGGAAGGCCCAGGGCGCCCTCCGGGCTGGAGACCCCCACACCACATACTTGATGGGCCCCAGCTTCTGGAATTCCTCCTGAATCTTCACACGCGCTCTCTTTTCCACCTGAGTCCTGACTTCGGATTTCTTCTTCATGCAGCCCCTGAGACAGAAAGTGGGGAGTGAGCCGGAAGGGTTAGGTCCGGTCCCTGCAGGTACCAGTTATTTGTCCCCGTCATCTGGCTGGGCCACACTGTCTCTGCCGCGGAGACCACAATGGCCTGCGAAGGGGGTCTCTCTGTCTCTGCCCTTCCTTTCTCCAATCTGCTCTCCCTGTGGGCAGTCCGGGTACTTTTCTGAAAGTGTGGATCTGATCGTGAACCAGTTCAAAAGGACGCGAGAATAAATGGACCAATCATGGGAACAAGATACAGAGTCCTCTGTTTACAATAGCCAGAATCTGGAAAGAACCCGAGTGCTCGAGAACAGATGACTGGTTAAAGAAACGTTGGTATATCTACGCAATGGAATACTATGCAGCTGTTAGGAAAGATGAAGTCATGAAATTTGCTTGTAAGTGAAGTCATGAAATTTGAAGTCATGAAATTTGCTTGTAAGTGGTCATGGAGAGTGTCATGCTAAGTGAAATGAGTCAGAAAGAGAGGGACAGACATAGAATGACTGCACTGATTTGTGGAATATACAGTAACATAATAGGAGACTTACACCTAAGGACAGTAGAGATAAGGGCCAGGAGGATCGCTCCACGGCTTGGAAGCTGGTCTCACATGCTGGGGGAAAAGGCATCTGGGATAGGGGAAGGACCACGAAGTAAATTATGGTTGGAGGGCTCGCTCGGGATGGTAGATACATGCTGAAAGTAGATTATGGACCAAACATGATGGCCGCTTAGTACCTGTATTGCAAACCATAACACCCAAAAGGACAGAGAGAGTAAGAGGGAATGTGCCTGCCTCAGAGTCAGAGGATGGGATGAAGTGGGGGTGGCGGGAGGGATACTGGGAACATAGGTGGTGGAGAATGAGCACTGTGGGGGTTGGGTATTTGAAGGATGGGTACTTGAACATTGTATGACTGAAACATAATCACGAAAGTTTTTAAGTCTGTTACTATATCTCATGGTGATTCATTGAAATAAAATTTTAAAATAAATAAACAAATAATAAAATAGTTCATTTATTTTTAAAAAATACAGAGTACTGAAATCTAACTTAAAAATGGGGATTTAGTCCACGACAAAGCTGGTGGCTTAAACTGGTGTGGGAAAGACCAGCTAGTCAATGTTGGACTGTGAAGTTCAAAGGAAATGAATGAAGAGCCCAGAGCAAATGAAACCTTTCCAGTGGCCAACTGATGCCACAAGGGTGCGGAGACCATGCATTGGGGGGTGCAAAGTCATTGCCCAGGGTTGTAGCCGATGCCATGGAGTGAACGTGAATCCCTATTCGGTTCCTTATACAAAATGATGCTCAAAATGGACCAATGGTCTAAATACAAGCGCTAACTCTTAAGACTTTTAAGACTTCTTAAAAGAAAATGCAGGGGACATTTTCAAGGCCTTGGATAGGGAACTCTCTCAGCTACAACAGCAAAAGCACAAACAACCAAAGGAGGATTAATTGGATGCCAGTCATTAAAAATGAGAAACTCGAAGTCTGGAGAGATAACGCAGTGGGTAAGGTGCCTTGTAAGGCTGACTCAGGTTCAATGTTTATAATCCAATATAATCCATCAAGCCCATCAGGAGTGATCTCTGAGTGCAGAGCCAGGAGTAAGCTCTGAGCGTCTCTAAGTATGGCCCCAAAAGCAAAATCAAACAACCCCCCCCCCCGAAACGTATGTGTATGCCCATGAAACCCCTTAGGTCAATGGGGTGGCCTTCTGAAACAAAAATATTAAGTCGGAGTTTAACTTCACTCTGGACCTCAAGAGTAAACTCCAAATAGAACAGAGACTGCATTGTTAAAAAACTAAAAACACTAGAGGAAAGTGGGATTCTTTTTCATAACTCCTGTCATGGAAAAATCCTTATGCCTGAACTCAAAAATTTAGAAATGATCGACCAATTCATCTGTGTGGACAACTTCAGAAAATGTCTCCGTGGCAAGAAGTACCATAAGCAAAGGAAACAAAACTCACACATTATTCTGAAACTTAGCCTCCATCTTCCAATAAGACGAGAGTCCTAGAATTCAAGGCCACCAAAACCCCCAACCCATGTGAAAAGTAAGCCCAAGAAATAAACTCACAGATTCACAGTTGTCAGGAAAGAAAATGCAATGACCCCATGCATGAATATACACAAATTATTTGGGCTGTACCTCCAGATGAAGCATTGCTCAAAATGACTTGGTGTTTTTTTTTTTTTGCCACACCTGGTGGTGCTCAAGTCTGTCTCCTGACTCTGCGCTCAGGGATCACTCCTGGTGGGCTTGGAGGACCATAGGGGATGTTGGGGATCCAATCTGGGATGATTACATATATAAGGCAAGCACCCTACCCACTGGCTTATTGCTCTGACCCCAGACTCAAAATGTTTTCAGTCTCCATTTCTTTCCCTTTTGTTATCATGTCTGTGATAGGTCACACACTTGCTTGGGGGTGCCCATGGGGGATCCTGCATCTTGTGGTCACAGCCTTTATGATAGCAGATGAGTGATACTGGGGGGTACCCACATACGTGGGGAGTAATGGTGGGTGCTGGGAGTTCAAGATCACGCTCAAAGCTCCTCACTTGGGAGGCAGGAGCCATTGGGCTATCCTGGGCTCCCTCAGAATTCAATAAAAGAAAGACACATTATTTTCCTTTTAGCTATTGGCAGATTAGCCAAACCAAAAAAAAAATGACCTTGCTGCATGCATGGAAACAGGCCAATACCTTGTCGATAGGACAACAAATAAGAAATATCCCTCCAGAGAACAATTTAACAGCATCTATTAAAATATGATAAAGTGTGTTTATTATCTGACATAGAAATCCCACCGATGAAAATCCACCTTGCAAACATATTTATTCCTGTACAAAATAGTATCTGTCAGGCAGACTGATCATCGGAAAATAGGGTTTTATCTGCTTATATAGACAATCATCCAAGGAATCGATAAAAGTGGGTCACTGTCTGGGGGGGAACCTACCGGATAAATGGGTCTACACAGGCCTGGGGGTAAGAATTCTCAGTGTGGCCTCTTTGCACAGTGACTACTGAGCCATATGGATGGGATATTTTTAAAAATTAAGTGAACTAGAAAAACTCTCAGCGGTGCTTTCTGTAGGAAGATCAAACTCCCACCAGAGCCTGGAGTGACAGCTCAGGTCTCAACTTGGAACCGTGGATTGTCCCTACTGTGAGTGGGTGAATCCCAGCGTGCTGGGGCCCGTTCCTGCATATATAAGTGTATATATAGATATAGATATATACACATACATATGTATGTATATGTGTGTATATATGTATATATGTTTCTCTCTCTCTCGCTCTCTCTCTCTCTCTCTCCCCATTCCTTTCACTGATTGGTCCGGCATGCCTTATGTAAATGAGGGTTTGTGGAACTGACCAATCAGCTTCCACACGCCCTAATAAGGGTTTATAAGCGGGGCAATTGGATAGCATTGGCCATACAGGATAAATCGAGGTCCTGTTTGTTTGGTCACCCTTATTTCTTCCTAATGAAATTGGGGACCGAGAAGGAGTTGATGGCTGGGACTCTGCCCCCCATAGTTATTTCTCCAACTCCAAGCCTTCATGATCTACACAACGGTTCTTAGACCCATGCCAGGGCTCATAGCAGCTGCTTCATACTTTCTTCCAACTAAGTTCTTGCTGAAGTCCAAGAAATGTATTCAGAGAAAAGGTTTGGTATCATTCTGGTCAATGGAAGATGAGACTCATTTTCAATAGAATGAAACCACAAAAATTTAAACAAATGAAAGTAGATAGAGTGTTAAGTAGAATTCATCTGCCTCACAGGCATTGGGAAGGGTGGGAGGGGGATATATTGGGGTTCTTGGTGGTGAAAATTAAGTACTGGTGAAGGGAAAGGTGTTTGATCATTGCATGACCGAGACTTAAACCTGAAAGCTTTGTAACTTTTCCCACAGTGATTCAATAAATATATATTAAAAAAAGATTTAAACAAATGTCAGCACTGTGGGCTCGGGTTCCTGGGCCCGCTTGCTCCCCCCTTATTCAGAAGGCTGACTTGGACAGGTAGGAGGGCTTCTCCTCAGAAGACAGCTGAGACTTTCTCCCCCATGTAAGCAGATAGATGCTAGAGTAGTCGACCAAGGAATATTTTCCTCACTCCAGATTCTCCTGCTCTCACATCACCCACCCCCCAATTATGAACCCATCAAAGGAAACCCTTTCCCTCCTTTGGTGTGGGTGCCCTTCCTGCCTCAGAGAAGAGTTCAACCAGTAATCACAGGGGTGGGTGACCTCACTGAGAACTAGCATGAGGTGGGGACCCCAACTTCTCTGCCCCCCTTGAGAGGGGTCACCGGTCAGTGTCACGATTATAGCCCACCCCCCCCAGCTCCCCAGCATGGCTCCCTCCAATGCAGAGTCCCAGGATCCACCATGCCTCCCACCCACCACAGCCTCCCATGAGGAAGATGAGGGGTACCTTAGTGTCAGTCCCCCGTACAGGAAGGAGATCCAGAGCCAGCCCACCAGCAGGAATATCAGCATGAGCGGGAAGGCGAAAACGAACCAGGAGCCAAAATTCACCACGTCACACATTGGGAAATAGCTGGAGACAAGAGAGAGGGTCAGTCTCAAGGTCAGTTCTGGCAGTGGAGGAGAGGGGGACGGGGGAGCTGGTCCCCTGGGCATGTTGGGAGCAGACCCTTCTGTCCCTTCTCCAGGAAGGCACCTACTTCCTTTGGTCCCCTTTAGTGGGGAGCCTGGATCTCTGGCCTCCTGGGACTCCAGTGACAACTGCCTGAGAAGGGGCAGACGGGTCCCCGGGGATGTGAACTGGACCCAAGAAGTGGAGAGTCACCCACTGGGAGAGTCAGCTGCCATTGCTCCCCCCGTGTGGTCACTAGGCAGGAATATTGGTCCAGTGAGCCCATATCTGGAGCTCTGTTTGGAAGAGGGTGAGGTTTCTCTATTTTGTTTGTCTATTTTGTTTTTGTTTGGGAAACATACCCCAGGCTTACTCCTGGCTCTGTGCTCTGGGATCACTCCTGGTGGGCTCAGGAGACCCTATGGGGTGCCAGGGATTGAACCCAGTTGGCCTCAAGCAAGGCCAGTGCCCTTCCCACTGTCCTAGCGCTCTGTCCCACAATGCGACGTTTCCATGGTGGGAACAGCACATCTGTGGGCTGCCGCTTTGGACTCGCAGGGTCCTGGCCCAGAGGCTTGTGTCTCGTAGTGCAATGCCAGGCACTTCTCCTGCCAACTCTCTCAGCTTCCCCCACCCGGCTTGGGAGAGGACTTGGGCAGTGATGTCCTGGGGGAGAAAAGTCCTTTCTGTAGGAGAATTTGGTAAAATGCACTCAGGGTCTCAAAAGATGCACATCCCTTCATCTAGAGATGCTACCAAAAATATGTCGTGTGTGTGTGTGTGTGTGTGTGTGTGTGTGTGTGTGTGTGTCAAGGGTGGAGCAAAAATGGGCCAAGAAGGTATGTAGGCTTGCTCAAAAGTGGTTCTAAAATCACGTATTCTTATATCAACAAAAGGCACAGAGCCCCTATTAAACAATAGCACTACAGCACTGTCCTCCCGTTTTTCATTGATTTGCTCGAGCAGGAACAAGTGACATCTCCACTGTGAGATTTTTTGTTACTGTTTTTGGCATACTGAATACGCCATGGGGAGCTTGCCAGGCTCTGCCGTGCGGGCGAGATACTCTCGATAGCTCGCCAGTCTCTCCAAGAGGGGTGGAGGAATTGAACCCGGGTCAGCCGTGTGCAAGGCAAACGCCCTACCCGCTGTGCTTTCTCTCCAGCCCACCTATTAAACAATAAGCAAATAAACAAAATGTGGACAGTAACCACAGAACTAAAAATTACAAGTGGATGAAAAGGGAATGGATTAATAGTTTCAGCAGCTATATATGTACATATATATATTTGGTAAATATATATATATAGCGGAAGCATGGGAGATTTTTATTTCCTTTCTTTTTATCTGAATTTTCTAAATTTTCTATACTAAACAGGCATGCCTTTTGAGGTAAGACAACAATAAAACACTTTACAATAATTAAGAGGGCCAGAGAACTAGTACAAGGGTCAGGGCACATGTCTGTCTTGCATGTGGTTGACTCCAGTTTGCTCTCCAGGTGTTCGTGGCCCCTCAAATAAAGCCAGGACATTGGGGGTCCCAGCGCACGGCCCTGTATAGCCCTGGAGCCCCCTGAATACCACAGGTGTGGTGCAGGTAATTTCTGGCACTGAAGGGCTAGAGCAGTGCTGCCCAGGGTTCAGGGCGCTAGCCCACCTGGTAGGATGCTTGCCTTGCATGCAGCCAACCCAGGTTCGGTCCCCAGCATTCCACTGGTCTCCCAAGGTCCTCCAGGAGTGATCCCTGCACTCAGAGCAGGAGTAAGCCCTAAGCACCGCTGGGTGTGACCCCAAAACAAAAGACCCAAAACAAAACCAAATAAATAAATTCAATTTCATTAAAATAGCAGCAGGTATATCTAGTCTCATTGCTCATAATAGTACAATGATGACCTAGAGCCTGATAATGAGCTGAGTGGTGCTGATTAATAGGGCGTGACGTCTAAAAGGGACAAGTTCTAGTCATTAAGCATATTTTATTTAAAAAAAATTTAAATGACAAAATTGGGCCTCGAACCTGTATTAAAAAGCGTAATGACAATAATGTTAAATATCTATCTGTTCATAGCATATATTCAAATTCAAAACTAGAATTCCACTAAAAATAATAACAGTGAAATTGGTAGCATTTTCATTTCAATTTTTTCCTATGTCTCTGAGTGTCTCTCTGTGTCTGAATCATGTATAATCAGAATCAACTAATAAAATGCACTTGGGGAGTCAAGGCCTGGGGGAACCCCTAGGACAGTCATTTCCCAGTTTTCCAGCTCCCAGTTGAAGAACCAGAGTCCTGTGTTCTTCCACTTAAATTCCCTCCTGGATGAGAAGGTCCGAAGTGAGTGCAATTAAATGGTGCATATTATTTGCATGTCATTTACATGCAATTTTCTAAAAATTCTACATGTTAGCTATTTTCCTGCCTAGAACTCTTACTTGTTCCATATTCTCTCTTCTAGTTGGAACAAAATTAACATTCACAGCAGGTAGGCATTGAAAATTCTGACAGCAACTCTCCCCTTTTCTCCCCAACTCAGCACCTGTCTCCGTGGTCCCCAGAATCACTTCTTTCCCTTCCAGCATGGAGGACAAGGCTTCCTCCTCCGATGTCTGACCCTTTTGCTCAGCTGCCCTTCCCAAAAAAGGAGACAGAAAAGGCCAAACCCAGATTCTCCCCTCACTGGAAGCAGGACCCCCTTAATGTCTGAGTCTTCAATTCAGCAAAAACATTCAGGCCTTGCCCCAAGAGCCAAGATTCAAAAGGCACCAAAGATTTGCGGTGGGCTTCTTTTCTCAGAATACAAACGCCTGTCCCCACCCCTGTGCCCCCAACGTACATCTGCATCTGGGGACCCAGGCCTGAATTCTCTCAGCCTTCCCTGGACACTGCCATCCAAACCCAGACAGAATCTCCCGTCTTTTCTCATCAATTCTTAGCGCTGAATGTTAGAGTCTGTGAATAGTGGGAAGGGCTATGGCTTCCGAATCAGTGCATGAGGATGTCTTTGGACTTTCTCATGCAAGGATCCAGTGGACTGTGGTGGAAGGATATTGGCACATTGGTGGTGGGTGCACTGTGGTTACACTGTACCCCTAAGACACATATACACTCTTCAGCAAACATGCCCGCTCTTGTGAACCAGTGTTTCCTCATTAAAATTAATTTAAGAACTGTCTCATGGACATCACTTCAGTTGCCTGTAAGCGTAGTGTGACTATGTGTATATCAAACCCTCACTCTCTGAGAAAATCACTCCGTACCCTAATAAGTCCCCCCCTTGGGGTGCACGCCCAGTAAAGAGCTGAACACCGGATGAATGCCGGATACTTCTTGTTGGCCAAATGCTTTCATTTGCATTTGTGGGGGTGAAAGAGACATAAATGACATCAACATCACAAAAACAGTCAGAGAACCGTCCACCTCTTGGAAAGAAATTTGGAATCTGGGGTTGGAGCAGTGGTACAGTGGGGAGGGTGCTTGCTTGCCTTGCCTGCAATCACCCAGGTTCCATCCCCGGCACCCTATATGCTCCCCTGAGCACCACCAGGAGTGATTTCTGAGTGCAGAGCCAGGAGGAACCTCTGAGCATTGTTTGCTGTGGCCCCAAAGTCAAGAAAAACAAAAACAAAAAAGAAACCGGAAATCTTAAGATCTTCTATATGTGCTGGGATTTTGAACACAATCTCCCAACGGTCTTGCCTGCAAAGCTTCTCCCTCAAGTGAGGGTCCGTGTTAAAGGCAAACGCTGATAACTAGGGGTCAGCTCCTAGTTCTCCATGACTCCTCCCGCTCTGACCTGGTGTGTGTCAGTCTCACCACATTTTCTCATGGCTTTGTGCCCACCTCGCTGCACTCCAAGCTGCTCCCTGAGACTGCCCCCAGCTTGGCCAGGCTCTGCACCCTGACCCCACCCCCACCACACCCCCCAAGTCTGCAAAGCATCCTTCCTCCCCTCTGAGTTCTGCTCAAATATCCCCTTATTAGAGGGCACACCCAGCCCTGCCAGGGAGACCCCCTTCCCTGCAGGATTAGATTTTATAAGTCACTGCACTGACATGTCGCATGAGTGCTTTCTGTTCATTGGTTGTTCTTCCACCAGAATAGAGGTCCCCTCTGGTGGACCAGGGGTGACCAAGGCTGACCCGGCTTAACCAGGGCGATTGAGGCTGACCAGGGCTGACTGGGGCTTTATCACAGGGTCTAAAGGAGGGAGGATGGAGGGGGGAGTAGGAGGAGAGACCCCCCCGCGCCCCCTTGATAGTCACCAATGCTTGCTTTTACCTCTTGAGCTGTCCAACCAGGATGAGGTTAGGGGCCGTGCCGGTGAGGGTGGCGGTACCCCCGATGCTGGCCGAGTAGGGGATGGAGATGAGGAGCCCCTTCCAGATGTTTCTGCAATATTCCTTCTCCTTCTTGGAGTCGGCAGAGAGATCCGCGGGTGCCTCGACCTCCTCGAGACTGCCTTTGCTTTAAACAGACCCAAGAGAAGCTATTCAGGGCTGCCAGAAACCCCGGTTCGGGGCAAAACACAGTACGGACACAGTTTTGGGGTTGCGAGGGCTTGGGGGTCTGTCGAGAAGAAGTTGGCACAGGTGTGCAAACCCTCTCAAAGTGGGCAGCCTTCAGCCCCGGGGGGCTCCTCGCTAAGAATGTATCCGAAAGAAAGAACTGAGTCTCCGGAGAGGGAACAAAATAGCTCCCTGGGGTGGCAAATAAATTTGAACAGGAAAATAATTGAAACCTTCCTGAAAAGTTGATTCATCAATAAGGATGAACTTTGGTTCTGATTAATCACTCCCCGGGCAGTGATTAAAAATAATGATTTAGCGGGTTTGAGTAGGGAAAAAATCCATTCTATACAGTGAAAGGTGAGTAATAGCACCATTTGGGGCCAGAGCGATAGCACAGAGTAGGGCGTTTGCCTCGCACGCGGCCGACCTGGGTTCAATCCCCAGCATCCAATATGGTCCCCCAAGCACCGCCAGGAGTAATTCCTGAGTGCAGATCCAGGACTAACCCCTGAGCGTCGCTGGGTGTGACCCCCCCAAAAATAAAATAGATAAGTGATTTTACAAAAATATAGTAATAGCACCATTCATTTCTGCTTTTTTAAATTTTCACATGGGCCAGGAGGTTGGTCCAGTAGGCAGAACTTTTACCATGCTCGCAGCTGACTCGGGTTCCATCCCTATCACCATGCATGGTCTTCCCAGCACTTCCAGGAGTGATCCCCGAGTGCAGGACCAGGAGGAAGGCCTGAGCACCTCTGGGTGTGGCCCCAAAGCCAACGTCAATAAATGCCAAGATTCCGTCAGAGGATGCTAGGGATGTAGCTCAGTGAGAAGGGGTTGTCTTGGAGGTGTGAGGCCGTGGGTTTGACTCCTGGGACTGGAAAAAAATCAAAGTAGGGGCTGGAGCAATAGCACAGCGGGTAGGGCGTTTGCCTTGCACGCAACTGACCTAGGTTCGATTCCCAGTATCCCATATGGTTCCCCAAGCACCGTCAGAAGTAATTCCTGAGTGCATGAACCAGGAGTAACTCCTATGCATCGCTGGGTGTGACCCAAAAAGCAAAAAGAAAAAAAAAATCAAAGTAAAAGTATTCATATGTTGCATGAATATGTGAGTATAGAGAAAAGTCCAAAATAGTCCCCATCGTGTTGCCTTGGTGTCTTCTCGTGAGCGGAATTATAGATATCTTTCAGGAAAGAAGGAAATTAAGAATTATTAATATTGTAAAGATAATTATGTTGATCCAAATGCAATGCAGTAAAAAGATAGACATTGCCCCCACTGGGAGAGAGGGCAGGTTCCAAATATATAGCATCACTGAACTTTGATTTGATTCATTGATGTCCAGAGAGAGAGAGAGAGTTCAAGAAATAATCTAGAATTAAAGTTGGAGCGATAGTACAGTGGGTACTTGCACGTGGCAAACCTGGGTTCTATCCTTGGCACCCCATCTGCTCCCCTGAGCATTGACAGAAGTAATTCCTGAGTGCAGAGCCAGGAATAACCCCTGAGCAACACCAAAAAAAGGACCCCCCAAAAAAAATTAGAATCATATTTATTAACTGTTCTAGTTTATCTCTGGGAGTGAGACGCTGAATTCATTTTCCTTTAGGTTTCTGAGTATTTATTGTTTTGACTTGTGCAATGATAAAATAATCATAACTGTAAGAATGAAGAATTGTCCCTGTTTAACACGTTCCTTTTTTCCCTCAAGAATGAAAGATACTTTAAATAGCTTCTGGTTGTATAAGTCCCACCTGAGCCCCCCCTTCCCCGACACACACACACACACACACACACACACACACACACACTCAGGGCTGTGGTCTGGAGTCTGTAAAACACTGAGACACGCTGTGGATGGGTGACGGGGCTTCTCAGGTGGTGAGGCCTGGGTGAGTCACCCGAATCTCACTCGAGCTCAGGGATCCCACACTGGGCACTCAACCAACCAGACCCAGCGTGTGAGAAAAGAAAGGGAACTATGGATGGGGAAACTGAGGCCAGGGAGGGGACAGGACCCTGAGCAGGGACGTGCTGGGGCTTTCCCAGGAGGTCAGCTCAAGCTCTGCTTTATGACTGGCAGATGTCACGTCCCATTCCTCCCCTCCTCTCCCTCCCCTCCCTCCCCTCCCCTCCTTCCCTGTTGGTCCCACCTCACTTAAAGTCAAGGTTATACCTGTGGCCTGGGGGTGAGGGTGGTCTCACATGTTCTGCCTGCACTGTGCCCTCAAACACTCTCCCCACTGGCTTCCTGGATGCTTTCAAGTCCCTGTGTTCCCACTCTTCCTTCCCAGTGACCACTCACCCCTCCAGGTGTTTGCCCAAATCCCGCTGTCTTAGTGAGGTCTTCCCACCCACTCTTAAAAACTGCCCATTCTCAGAGGATCGCACTGAGTGATATGAGTCAGGAGGAGAGGGACAGACATAGAGGGATTGCATTCATTTGTGGGACATGAGAAAAAAAAACATAGTATGAGACTAATACCCAAGGACAGTAGGAACAACGGCCAGGAGGATTGGTCCACACTTGGAAGCCGGCCTCAAGGACTGGGGGAGAAGGCAGCTGGCAGAGAGAAGGGACCATTACGACAAAGATAACTGGAAATGGTCACTCTGGGTAAGAACTGCATGCTGAAAGTAGGCAAAGGAAGAAACAGGATGACCTCTCAGTATCTGCACTGCAAACCATAATGCTCAAAGGAAAGAGAGAGAGAGACAGAGAGAGAGAGAATGAGAGACAGAGACAGAGAGACAGAGAGAGACAGAGACAGAGAGATAGAGACAGAGAGACAGAGAGAGATAGAGACAGAGGGAGACAGAGAGACAGAGACAGAGAGATAGAGACAGAGGGAGACAGAGACAGAGAGAGATAGAGACAGAGGGAGACAGAGACAGAGAGAGACAGAGACACACAGAGAGACAGAGACAGAGATACACAGGGATACACAGAGAGACAGAGAGAGAAAGAGACAGAGAGACAGAGACAGAGACATAGACACACAGAGAGAGACAGAGAGACAGAGAGACAGAGACAGAGACGTAGACACACAGAGAGAGACAGAGAGAAAGAAGAGAAGAAAAGTGGGGTGGGGTATGGGGGGGTGCATTGGTGTGGGAAATGTGCACTGGAGGAGGGATGGGTATTAGAACACTGTATGGCTGAAACCCAACCATGAACAACTTTGTAACTGTGTATGTCACGGTTACCTGTATTGCAAACCATAACACCCAAAGGGAAAGAGAAAAAGAGGGAATGTGCTACGGAGGCAGGGGGTGGGAAGGGGTGGAGGTGGCGGGAGGGATACCAGGAACATTGGTGTTGGAGAATGGGCATGGGTGGAGGGATGGGTACTCAATCATTGTATAACTGAAACATAATCACGAAAGTCTGTAAGTCTGTAACTGCATCTCATGGTGATTCATTTTAAAAAATCATAAATAATAATTTTTTTAAAAAAATACCGATGTCAGACAGACTCAAGGTATTCGTCCAAACCATTGCACGCATTTGTGGCAGGGTTCAGAGTCAGGGTTGAATATATATATGGCTCCAACTCCCTCGCTGTGTACTAGGTTACTCGGGGCTGACGGAGCCTCGAGCAGAATCTGGCTTCCTGAGCCCCCAACTCCCTATACCTCCAGCTTCTCGTGAGATTCCTCGACTTGCCCTGGCCCTGGGGTCTGTTTTCCCTCTCTCCTCCTTGACCGTCACGGTGGGTGTTGTTCCCTCTCCTTCGAGGCTCCCTTGCAGACTCCCCCAGCGAGGGAAAGATGTGCTCCTCCGCCCTTTTTCTATTCGCCCCTTTCAAGGGGACCCTGGACTGGTGCCCAAGCTCCGGGGTGGGTGGGGGAAACCTGGCCATTGGGTCCCGGGCAGGGGGAGACGGCTGGCCGCGCTGGACTCTCAGTCACGGTTTCCCGACAAGCACGGGCTCCTCCGTGGCTTCTGCCCGACTCACTCTTCAGTGCTGGCGAGGGACTGCATCTCCACGGGCACCGTGCGTAGGCCGTTCCTCCGCGCCGCAGCTAGGAGGCAAGAGCAGGTGTCTTTAGTGGGAGGGGAGGGAGGAGGCGTGTCCATGGGCTCCCTCCTGGACCCCATCCAGAGTGACTTCCAGGCTCCCCTTCTGGCCAACGAGCACATCCTGTTTGCTGAATCGGGAGGGAAAAGAGGCATTCGACATTCTGTCTGTCCGTCCCACCGTCCTACCTGGAGCTGGCTCTGGGAGGTCGGCAGAATGCCGAATGCTGCTGGCCAACCAGATTGGGCTGGAGTTGCCCGCTGCCAAAGGGGAGGGGAGGGGAGGGGAGGGGAAGGGAGGGGAGGGGAGGGAAGGGAAGAGGAAAAGAAGGGAGGGGAGGGGAAAGATTGGAATGAGAGGGGAAGGGAGGGGAGGGGAGGGAAGGGAAGAGGAAAAGAAGGGAGGGGAGGGGAAAGATTGGAATGAGAGGGGAAGGGAGGGGAGGGGAGGGAAGGGAAGAGGAAAAGAAGGGAGGGGAGGGGAAAGATTGGAATGAGAGGGGAAGGGAGGGGAGGGGAGGGGAGGGACCTAGCAGGAGAGTGGGTGCTAACAGGACTTAGTGAGTGACTCTTATGAAAAAGCCTTCTAAAGTGGGAGCAGCCCGGCCCCACATGTGCGTGTTGCCTTCTTGTTAGACTGGAATAATCTTCCAGCTCACCAGCCTCAGACAAAGCCGCCCTGGCAGCAAAATGGACATTTCCTGATCGTCTCCACCACACACGATACCAAGTGGCCCACCATTGGCTAAACAAACAATTCTTAATTTTTTTTTTTTTTTGCTTTTTGGGTCACACTCAGCGATGCTCAGGGGTTCCTCCTGACTCTGCACTCAGGAATTACTCCTGGCGGTGCTCGGGGGACCCTATGGGATGCCGGGAATTGAACCTGGGCCGGCCACGTGCAAGACAAACACCCTACCCGTTGTGCTATCGCTCTAGTCCCAATTCTTACTTCTTGACCCAAACTCAGAGCATCTTCTTCTGGCAGCAGTGTCCGGCGCCAACCCCACTTGCTCAGCCCCCCGACTCATACCCCAAACCCCACTTCCACTGGAGGTCGCTCCCGAGGCCCCAATGGAAACAAGGAACAGCTGCGCAGTGATGCTGCCGCCTGGCTTCCGAGAGGTGTGTCCCGGGACCTCTGGCCGCATGGACGGGGATGAAAGCTATTTTCTACCCTGCCCCTGCTTTGGGGCAGCCCTGTCCCTTGCCCCCTGGCCTGCTCCTTCCCTCCTGGTGCCCTTGGCGGGCCCTGCTCACCACCCCTCGGAGATCTGCGGCTCAAAGTCAGATCTCCCCAGCCCCAAGGGTAGCCAGGCTGGGGGCACAGCCTGAGGGCAGCGGGGCCAGAGGCCGGAGCACTGAAGCAGAGGGGAACGCTGTTAATAAGACACCAATGGGGTGGGCCACCACCGCCCCAGAGAACTCTGACCCACAGACACCCCTTGCCTGGCCCATTTCTGGTTCACTCTGCACCCCTGTCACCTGGGTTGGGGCCATGCCTGTCACCCAGTGTCCAGTGTCCTCCGTGAGCACCAGCACCATTGAGCTGATACCCTTAGTCTGTGGGCTGGGAAGTCTTACCCGTGGCTGGGCACTTCTGCCCCTGAACCGGCGATACACATGGGTTCCTCCTTTCTCTGCACTCAGGAATTACTCCTGGTGGTGCTCGGGGGACCATATGAGGTATTGGGAATCAAACCTGGGTCGGCCCTGTGCAAGGCAAATGCCCTACCCATTGTGCTGTGGCCCCAGCCCTCAAGTTTCTATATTTTTGATAAAAACTTGCAGGTGATTCTCCTGAGTGGCCAGGGATTAGAAGACTCATGGGAGTGATGAGTGGGAAAGGGGAACTTCCAATGGCTAAGTGAAGTGGCTAAGTGGCCCCCGGTTCCCGGCCCTTATCCGTGGTGGGCTCAGGCTACTGCTCACGTCTAAGCCCGGAAGCCTAAGGCCAGGTGGTCCATGAGGCAGAGGAGGGTCTGCATGGCGCCCGGCTGCAAACAGGTGTTGGGGGCAGCTTAGAGGATGCTTCACACAGACTAGCGGCCGGACAACAGTTTGCGCTAAATGATAAGTTTCTAGAACGATGACAGTACAGCCAAAGGAAATGAGGTCTAAAAACAAACAACATGAAAACTAAGTGCTGAGACTCAACCATCTGCCCGGACCACCCCCCAAGCTTCTTCTAACCACAGTGACTCAATCCACCACGCGGAATCTAGTCCATGGGGCAAAGTCCCCAAAGGGCTGGGGTTCGTGGTTCAGAAGCCACCGGCTGGTCGGGAGCTGAGTGCTTACATAAGGGCTTCTCCAAATATTCCCAGCACCCCGGGGTCACACAGAGTCAGGGAACTGAGAGCTGGGATGTCTGTAAGCCTGCAGCACCCCAGGATGCGGACACGGGCTGTTAACCTGCTCTCTTCACCTGGAGACACTGAGGCCCGGAGGGGCAGGTCATGGCAAAGTGGCCCCATGGGATTGTGGCAGAGTCAGGCTTATTCCCAGGACTGGGCAGTCACTCCACCATCAAAGGTACCCTATCAAAGACCTTACCAGGTCTAACCCGGAACGACTCACTCTAGTTGTAGACTTAATCTAGGTCTGACCCAGAACTGCTCCCTCCAATTCCATCCGTCCCCACGGAGTAGAAATATTCTTCAAGCAAGAGACACACAAGACCTGCAGGAAGGTTCTCAGCTGTCCAGTGAGGAAAAGGACACCCCCCGTGAAGCTTAAAGGTCCCACCAAGGCAGGCAGATTTGCATCCACTAATTCACTGGGCACTTGCCACAACCCACAATGGTCAGTTTTAATGATCCTGGTTCTATGTATGCAGAACAGAAGCTGAGAATAGGGCCATTACTGGTTCCTCTGCTCACTTCTTCATGAATTCCACACATGAATCGAATATCTCCTAGGTGCCAAACAGTGTCCTAGACAAGCAAGATGACCAGGGGATAGATGCTGGGCAACAAGAGTCTCTCTCTCTCTCTCTCTCTCTCTCTCTCTCTCTCTCTCTCTCTCTCTCTCTCTCTCACACACACACACACACACACATCAGAGCCAGGAGTCTCCGGAGAAGGGAGAAGAGAGAGACACGCGAATCACCCAAGCAAGAGCTGGGTTATTGTGGGAGTGAGCCCGGGCCGGAAGTTCCCCTTCTAGGCTCCTCCCACTTCCTGGGAATCCCAGGGTTCAAGTACAAAAGCTATACAATGTAGGATCCACACCCGGGTGCCAACCTCTCCCAACCACAGAAGGCGAGAAGTTGTACCCTGATTTCAGATGAGAGCAGGACAGAGAGCAGGCCTGGACTTCGGAGTGAGGAGCAGAGGGTCAGGCTACCCCCGCTGCTCTGAGGGTGGCCTCGCCGGCAGCGCTGATGGATGGCAAGTTAGCCTCGCAGTCAGGGCAGAGCAGGGGAAAGAGTGAGACTTTATGGGGCTGGAGCGATAGCACAGCGGGTAGGGCATTTGCCTTGCATGCGGGCGACCCGGGTTCAATTCCCAGCATCCCATATGGTCCCCTGAGCACCGCCAGGAGTGACTCCTGAGTGCAGAGCCAGGAGTAACCCCTGTGCATTGTCGGGTGTGACCCCCAAAAAACAAAAACAAAACAAAACAAAAAAAGAGTGAGACTTTAGCTCTCAAAGATGGCTTATGTCTGAATCACTGGGCACACACATAGCCTCCTCTCGAAGGAAGGCTGCTGACCAGGCCTGCACCGGGCAACCATGGCCCTGGGGATGTCTGGGCTGGGTAAGGAGCAGAGCTGGACAGGAACTGGAGCAAGCACAGGGCTGCTGTGCTGGACAGAAGACCCTGCCCCTGGCTTGGGTGCTTCCAACCTCCAGCAGCCTTGCAGAACTCAGCCACCTACTCACCATCTTCCTCTGGGCAAGTTGCCTCACCTCAGGCTCCTCGTCTGTAAAATGGGCATCTGTGTGTCCAACAGCAAAGTGGCGAAGACCAAACGAGTGGACTAGTGAGAAAGTCCTAGTTCAGTCACTGAGGCTGGACCTTTAGTCCCGGCCCCAGGCCACTCACCGTGTCCACCACCCACCACCCACCTCCAGTTCAGGGCCTGGAAAACAGGCAAAAGGCAACATCTCTCTTTGCACTGGAATCAGCCCGGTGGGCCGAGAGCTGATGATTAACCAAGTCCTGCAAACCCAAGGCTCACTCCTGCCTGCTGGGGTCAGCTGCTCCCACGTCCGACCACATGAGCCCCAGACTCTGGTTAACTTTGCACCCGACACTGTGTGGGAGCCAGAGTAAGTCTCTTCCCCTTCTCGAGTCTCGGATTTTTCACACTGGGAATGAGAGACTTGACTTTGAATTTTGAGGGTGGCGGGCACAGGCACGCCAAGAAAACAAAATCTTGGGGCTGGAGCTATAGCACAGCAGGTAGGACGTTTGCCTTGCATGCGGCCAATCTGGGTTCGATTCCCAGCATCCAGTATGATCCCCTGAGTACCGCCAGGAGTAATTCCTGAATGCAGAGCTAGGAGAAACCCCTGTGCATCGCCAGGTGTGACCCAAAAAGCAAAAGAAAAAAGAAAAGAAAATCTTGGGGGGTGGTGATGAGGAGGATAAGAGGAGGGTTAAAGGCCACCAGCCCAGATTCTAAAGACCAGAGCTACCGTTTTGAAGTGTTGTAACTTTGGGGCACACTGAAGCTCCCTTCTGTGGTTCTCCCTTCATTCCATGGGAGGTGAACACTAGCTCAACTCATTTAGAAATAAAATGCAGGGGGTGGAGTTATAGCACAGCGATAGTGCATTTGCCTTGCAGGCGGCCAACCCGGGTTCAATTCTCAGGGTCCGATATGGTCCCCCAAGCACCTCCAGGAGTAATTCCTAAGTGCATGAGCCAGGAGTAGCCCCTGTGCATCGCCGGGTGTGACCCAAAAAACAAACAAACAAACAAACAAACAAAAAAGAAATTTGAAAAATGCAAAAAATGCAAAGGAAACTCTTGGCGTTGAGCAAACGTTTCCTTCACTCCACTAGCTGTGTTTGGGATATTTGTTCTAGCAGACAGATAAAGATGCAGTGGGTTGGGGATGGCTGGGGTGTGAATGGGAGGAGAAACAGAGATGAGAGTATTAGTGTCACCCCAGGGAAATGGCCAAGTGCCTCCCCTGAAACCCCTCGGCTCTGAGAAAAGACACAAGAACCAGGTACTGATACTGTAGACCAAAGGTCCCACGCTCAATCCAGCTCCCTGCTCGCCCACTGTGGAAGGGGTTTTACATTTTGAAACGGCAAGAAAAAAAGTTCTTCAGGAGGAGAATAATGTGTTGTGACATAAAACATTGTACGAAATCTAACTTGGGCATCTATCAATCAAACATTCTTGGCATGGAGTCCGTGGGTGTTTTCTCTCTCAAACGATGAGCTGAGAAGTTGCCAGGAAAGAAAGCCCAGAATATTGACTGTCTGGTCACTTTCAGGATAGGTTTGCCAAGCCCAGCTGCTTGGCATCTCGCCCCGTCCCCGTGGGGACTTGACCTTCCCTTGATTCCAGTTTCGCTGCCTGCACCACAGTGTCCTGCACTTTGGACACTCCACTCCCCATCCAAGAGACTCATCAATAAAATCCTCATTTCCAGTGCTGATGCAGAAATGAAATAGGCAAGATCTTCAGTGCACGGAGAGGAAACGATCATACCACACTGAACAAAATGCCTGGAGAGCACAGAAATCAGCATTTAAACTCCTAAGGCATAGACAACAGGTCCTCAAATAACATCAATTTTGTTCTGGTTTTTGTTTGTTTGGGGGCCACAACTGGTAGTGTACTGGGCTTACTCCTGGCTCTACGCTCAGGGATCACTCCTTTCATCAAGCGGGACTTGATGAATCATATGGGGTTTGGAGGTTGACCCCTGGCCAGCCACACACAAGCCAAGGGCCCTCCCTGCTGTACTGTCTCTCTAGTACAGCAGGGAGTTGGTTACAGGGATTCAACTCAGGGGCTCATACATGAGAAGCATGTTTTGTACCATTGAGTCACTTTCCTGATCTATGAATAATGTCACTTTGTTCAACTTCCTTTCATAATAGCACCGAGAAGGAAAGTGCACATAACCCTGTCAACAGTAAACAAAACAAAGGACCTGGTTTGTTATACTTAATCCACCTCTCTCTCCCTCTCCGTCTCTCTCTCCGTGTGTGTGTGTATGTGTGTGTGTGTGTGTGTGTGTGTGTGTGTGTGTGTGTTTGGTCCACACCCAGCTGTACTCAGGACACACACTTCTGGCTCTGCGCTCAGAGATGACTCCTATTGGTGCTCTGGGGAACATACGTAGTGAGGAGGAGGACGAGACCCAGTCAGACATGTGCAAGGGGGTACCCTGCCCATTGTACTGTCTCTCGGCCCCCCATGCTTGATCTATGGTATCACAGATAGTGATTAAGGGATCTGCTAGGATAAATGGTCCAAAGCGGCTAGGGGTTGACCTGACATTAGTCGCCCATCACTGCGCCTTCCACGTGTGGGAAGGGAGCATCTGTCCTGGTCCATATGCAAAACGTGTCAATCCAGACACGTTCTCTCTGGCACGGAAGAGTGCTCAATCCCCTCAACCCTCATTCCTGCCAACACTGAGTGGAGCAACAGATTTCCCACTGGTGCCAATCCCATGGAAGTAAACCTTGGTGCTGTTTCAATTTGTTTTTTCTCCGTGTCATTGACATTGAGTAGCAATTCAGATACTTTTAAAACAGCATCTCTCCCCAAGACACAGAAATATTCCTTCAAGAGGGTATACACACACCTAAGTTCATTGCTGCACTTAGTACAATAGCCAAAATACAGAAACAACCGAAATGCCCAACTACAGATGAATAGATCACGAACTTGTGGTATATATATACACACAATGGAATACTATGCAGCTCTAAGAAAGCACAAAAACCATGCCGTTTGCAGCAACATGGATGAAGCTAGAGGACACTGTGTTGAGTGAAGTCAGTGAGAAGGAAAGGGACGGAGACAGAAGTATCTCTCTCATACATGGGACTTGCAGATACTCAGTGAGGTAGAATCAAAGGGTCAAAAGCAACATAATGGGAGAACAGATCCACACAATTGAGTTGAGGGGGCAGAAGGGAGGGCCTGTGGGGTCCTTGGGAGAGGGAGGGGGCACACTGGTAATGGACGTGCTGTTGGAATTATGTGCATGAGGACCCGCTGTTAATCGCATTGTAAACCACAGAATCTCAATTGAAAATATTTTTAAGTGGTTCTCAAACACCTGGCACTTAGTAGACACTTGGTTAGAGCAAACCCGAGTTTCCCACAGTCGCTCCCCCTGCCCTCCCCACCCCCCGCCTCACCTTCGCTCTCTTCACTCTCCCTGGGGAGCTCCTTCTGCGCTTCCTTCTGCCCGAAGAGGCTCTTGAGCACGGCGCTGCCGATGGGGAGCATCATGGCGGTGGAGGCAGTGTTACTCAGCCACATGGAAAGGAAGGACGTGGTCACCATCACGCCCAGGATAAGCCTGGGGCAGAGAGTTAGAGGCAGGTCAGAGCTGGGGTCTGACGGGCGGGGGTGGGGGTGTTGCTCGCTCCCAGCTGCCTGCCCTTACGAATCTGGGTCACTCAAGTTCTCGGTGAAAAGGGCTAGTCAGGATGAGCCCCTGGCCCAAGGGGAAAAAGTCCACTTCCCAGACTGGTGATAAATCTCAGGAAACTGGGTCAATGTGTTGGAGCCAATTAACCAGGGACACCCAATGCAAAATGGCTCCCAAGTCATCGATCCTCCGGAATTTTCTCTCCTTTGTCCCCAGAACCATCCAGTGCCCCCCTGCAGGGTAAGGCTGCTTTGGTTTGGCACCAAGAATCTCCAGTGTGTCATTCCAAAGACCTCCCTTCCCTGTCCCCTTTCTTCTCTACCAGACATCCTGCAGTCTTCCACCAAGAACTCCGGCCCTGATGGCCGCTCCTGCCAGCCTGGGGATGCCCCCACCCCATGAATCACTCTCTCGTGAAAGTTTTTCCTTTACACAGAACTCTTTGTCCACCGTAAACTTACGGTGTGATGTGGGATCTCAGTGGATTTTTAAATTCAGAATAAGCCAATGGCTATTGGCATCCTCCTGCCATTGAACCATCCTTGCCTTCCATGCTGACTCTAATGCCAACTTGGTCATTGATTTTTCACTGACAGAGATCTACATCAGAGCCAGGATAATTGTAATGTGCTTGGCAGAAGCCCTGCCTGTTCTTCCATGTCAAAGGGAACCCACTCCTTCTCCCCGGGGGTGTCCCACTCCACTAGGCACTGAGGTCTGTTCCCCAGTCGGAACCTATGGGGCAGTTTTGGCAGAACAAAACGCACCTTGTAGGGCAAAGGCTGGGACCAGGGAAGAAGCCAGAACCCATGAGGTTATCTAGAACCATCTTCTTCCTCACTGTCACACCATCCCCCATCTCACCTCAAGTCATCCTGCCGTACCCCCTCCCCCAAAGCTGCCTCCCAGTCCTGTCTCCTTTCAGGGCTGCACCCCAACTCCTCAACCTCTGCTCCCCGAAAGGCAGCCCAGAGGGATTTCATGAAAATGCAGATCTCACACATATGTTGCCCAAACACATGTGCTGCTTGTGCCCACGTGGCTGAGCACATGTGGTGCCTGAGCACATGTGTCGCCCGCATCTCCCCTCTTGAGATGTGGACTTTCATGCTTTCATGTCATGTTTAATGTATGTGTGTTGGGCTCTCTCCACTCTCGGAGAAGCTTGCGTTCTCTCTTGAACAAGTTTCTCTCCCTCTCTCTCTCTCTCTCACTCTCTCTCTCTCTCTCTCCCCCCTCTCCCACTCTCTTCCCCTCCACACCTTTAAAACCCCCCAAATAAAATCTGTTTTACTTCAAAAGAAAGAAAGAAAGAAAGAAAGAAAGAAAGAAAGAAAACGCAGTTCCGCTCATTTCATTTCCTAACTCTCAACCTCTAAAGCAGGGGTTCAGGGCCGGAGCGATAGCACAGTGGGTAGGGCATTTGGCCTTGCACGCGGCCTACCAGGGTTCGATCCCCAGCATCCCATATGGTCCCCCAAGCACTGCCAGGAGTAATTCCTGAGTGCAAAGCCAGGAGTAACCCCTGAGTATTGCTGGGTGTGTGACCCAAAAAAGAAAATAAATAAATAAATAAAATTGGCTTCTTTAAAAATAAATAAATAAATAAATAAAGCAGGGATTCACAGTCAGGGAGTGCAGAGATATGATTCAGGAAGGAAATAGGGATTCCAGGGTTTGAGGCATGTCTCTGTTTTCTAACGGCTGATGGGAACGAGACACTTCCCTCAGTGAGATACACAGGCAGGGCACCCGCGCTCACTCGTGTAAGAAGTGTCGCGATTTCATCTCCAGTGAAGACCTTCCCATCTCGCTTCATTAGTTCCCTGGACTATCACTGACATTCAAAACTGCCAGAAAACAAATTAGGGGCTGGGCAGAGGCTCAAGTTGAAGAGCACGTGGGGGGCTGGGTGAGGCCCTGGTGTGATCCCTGGTCCCCAGAGGCTTCCTGAACCCACTGGGAATGGCCTCAGTGAGAACCAGGGCTTGAGGGGCCTTCAATCACTGTGGAGATGGCCCTCACAATAATGGTGAGAAAAAGGAGGAAAGCATCTAACGTTTCTCCTTTGCCACTATGTTAACAAAGGTTCTAGATGATTCCATACTGCAATATGGGCACTTTCAAATAGTTAACTGAATTTCCCTCTAATTGTTGTTACTGCTGTTGTTTTAAACATGGGTGCTTCATACACTGACGAGCATTATTCTGGGGCTGGAATGATAGTACAGGGGTGAAGGTGCCTGCCTCGCCTGTGGCCAACCCTGGTTTGATCAGCACCATGTGATCCCAGAGTATTAGCTGGTATGAGCCTGGTGGTCCCTGAGCAGCTCTGCACCCTCCAACCCTTGTGTGAAATCACCAGCCTGGTTAAGCTGAGATACACAAAGAGGGGCCCCACTTGGAAAACTCCCTCCAAAAATTAATCCCAGGAAGAATCCCCTCATATTCACTAAATTGCAGAAAACAAAACAAAACAAAAAAAACCTAAAAAACAAAACAAACCAAAACCAAAAAAAAATCACACACACACACACACACACACACACACACACACACACACACACCAACAACAACAAAGTAAAGCAACAAACCTAATAGAACCCCTGAAAGTTGTCCCTGGGCATCAGCATTTCAACAACCTTCCCAGATGAGTTCAAGGCCCTTTGGAGAAGTGTCCTGGGATCAGCCGCACCCCCCGCCCCCCGCCACACACACACACATGTCCCAGAGCACGTGAATGAGGCGTGAAGATATGAAGGACAAACCTCTGTCTGCACCAACCGGGAAGAGTGAGTCTGGGGCTCCAAGAAACAGGGTCCCTCTACCTGTCCAGGTACGCTAGGCGGCCCCTTACCTGGCCTTACCTGATGGGCTGGACGCCAATGACCATCAGGATCCGGAGGGCGATGCGGCGGTGAAGGTTCCACTCCTCAATGGCGCTGGCCATGATCAGGCCGCTGAGGAAGAGGAAGTTGGTGTCCACGAAGTACTGGGGACAGACTTTGCTGGAGGGCAGGATGCCCAGGAAGGGGAAGAAGACGATGGGCAGCAGGGCCGTGACGGTCAGGGGCAGGGCCTCCGTGCACCAGTACACGGCCATGAGCAGGATGACGAAGAGGCAGCGGCCTTCCTGCAGGGGAGAGGCAGGCTCAGGGCACACGGCACATGGCGGGCAGGTGGAGGACAAGGCGGTGGGCAGGGCTGCCGTGGACAGGGTGGGCACACACGGCTTTGACCCTGAGCAGTTGGGGGCAGCTCTCTCTGACCTCAACAGGACTGTTGGAAGATGAAATGACAGCTCCAGGAGGAGTGGGACGTGAACCCAGCTTGAGAGAAGATTCCAGAAAATTCTGGAAGGGGCGAGGGGAAATGGAACGGACGAGGAAGGCGATACACAATAATTTAATCACAAAGCACCCACAGTGTGTAATCGGGGGAAGGAGGAGGGGGGCTCAATCCTGATGGGAAGCCTGGGAGACAGGAAGGTATAAATCCGTAGTCTTTGATCTTTTATGTAATTGGTCTGTTGCTGTCACTGTCCTCCCGTTGTTCATTGATTTTCTCGAGCGGGCATCAGTAATGTCTCCACTGTGAGGCTTGTTGTAACTGTTTTTGGCATATCGAATCCGTTACGGGGAACTTGCCAGTCTTTGCCATGCGGGCGGAATACTCTCGGTAGCTTGCCAGGCTCTCTGAGAGGGGCGGAGGAATCGAACCCAGGTCGGCTGTGTGCAAGGCAAATGCCCAACCCGCTATGCTATCACTCTGGCCCATTTAATTGTTTTTTTTTCCCCATTGGATTACCCACAGTGTGACTAGGCCTCCTCCCCCCATCTCCCAAGATTATCAGTAGCTTGGCAGTTTCACCCACAAGCTGCCCCTGGTGCCATATAATCTCATCAATGGCCATGATCCAGAGCCTCTGAAATAAAGCGCCCGGAAGAGAGCAGCATAGTCTCACCCAGAGTGGATCTGCTCTATAATTGTATCCTAAATTTTAGAATTCCTAGAGCAAACACAGCCACACCACCTCTCATTCTACACCATTGATATACCAAGAGTAGCACACAACATTTGATGGGGTTTAACAGACATGTTAGTAATCTCTTATACAAGGGGTTAATGGCTCCAGGCTGAAGTACAACAATCTTCACACACTTTCCTTGAAGGAAACTTTACTGAACCATTTTTAGCAGATTATTCATAAGAAGCAGTACAAATTTAACTGTTTTGGTTCTGCTTTGGGGAGCACAGCTTGAGATTTGGGGTGGAAACATTAGAAATACAGTGGTGGGAAGGTGTATTGGTGGTGGGATTGGTGTTTGAATATTAAATGTAATAAATTATTGTGAACAACTTTATAAAAATAAAAATTTTTTCTTAGCTTCTTGGGTCACACTCAGTGATGCACAGGGGTTACTCCTGGCTCATGCACTCAGGAATTACTCCTGGCAGTGCTTGGGGGACCTTATGGGATGCTGGGAATCAAACACAGGTGGGCCAAGTGCTAGGCAAACGCCCTACCCGCTGTACTATCACTCTAGTCGCAAAAATAAAATGAAAAAAATTGGATTACCATGAGTCAGTCTTTTTTTCCCCCTGTGACCCAACACCTGTCCTGATATGGGTCCCCAGACTGGCAGGCAGAACCAAGGCAGTGGTTTTCAACCTTTCTACACCCGAGGGACCAGTCAGTGGACCAGTGGTTGAAGACCACTGGGGTAAATCATGTCTCAGGTTCTTTTCCCTGGAAGGTAAGGATGCTGGGCTATTTCTCACTCAACTCCTGGCTTCCGCTGGTGGGAAGTTGCTCCTGAGAGCGTTCACCCCTGGCCTGCCCCATGTGTAGCCAGAGGAAGCATTCAGACAGAGCATCGTGGGGACAGAAAGAAGTCATTGGCCCATCTGGAACGGCGAGCGCCCAAGCTGCTTTGGAGAAGGCCTGGGTAGCTGCCGCTGCCTCATCCTTCCGGTGCCCGCACCCAGTGTGCATTCTATAAACACTGCTAATGACGGACACAACTGGGCTAAGTACCAGGTGCAGCTCATGCCTCACCACACCCCAGTGACGCTGGGCTCAACGGGTTCCTCGCTGTGTGGATCTCGGAGTGCAGGTCAGAGCAAAGGTGGAGCACAGCCAGACACTCTGCTTCCAGAACCAACTCTCTCTTTTTTCAGGTAAATCTTTTATCTTTTTAAAAAAATTTTATTAGTGAAACACGGTGAGGTACAGTTGTAGACTTACAAATTTTTGTGCTTGGGTTTCAGTTATACAATGATCGAATACCCATCCCTCCACTAGTGTCCATTCTCCACCACCACTGATCCCAGTATCTCTCCCACCCCCCATCCCCCCAATCCCACCCTGCCTCTGTGGCAAAGGAGAAAGAGAACAAAAGAACCAAATCTCTTGACCCAGAGCCTACAGCTGCTCTTAGCTGTGCTCTAGAACCCACGGAGGCAGCCGAAGCTGTTTAAAAGACTCAAAACCAATTGGATCTGGGTCCAGGAGGTGCTTCCGTGGGTAAAGGAGCCTCTGTCGCAATCATGAGGCCCTCAGTTGTATTCCCAGTATTGTCACCATGTGAGCATGGCAACAAAGGCTGCGTGAGCACCGTGGCCAGGAGTGGGACCCTCTGAAGCTCCACTCTGGACCCCCCAGCAAACACTGCACGATACGTAGCATCACAACTACAGGGATGTCTCCCCAGTGAGCACTGTGAATTCACAACTGAATGTGAGACCCCAGCCCACACCTCAGCCAAGTTTGTGAGTGCCACAATCAAAGGTGTGATTCTCAGAGAGGAGCCTGACCAAGGATGGGCCACCCCAGGCACGTCAACTCAATAACAGTGATGAAGAGAAGCGAGAGCTAGGGGCAGGGTGGAGCCATGATGATCGGGGAGGGGGTAGGAGGTGCCTTCGGGGAGGAAGGCAACAACAGAGCAGAGGGTGAGAGAATGTTCTAGAGCTGGCTGTGGAGGGAATATCCATGGGAGGTGTTTCCTCACATGAATTTGTCCAAACCATCCTGCTCCCCGAAAAACTTGTTCACTAGGGGCTGGAACAATAGCACAGCGGGTAGAGCGTTTGCCTTGCACGCAGCTGACCCGGCATGCAAGCATCCTATAGGGTCCCCTGAACACTGCCAGGAGTAATTCCTGAGTGCAAAGCTAGGAGCGACCCTTGAGCATCACTGGGTGTGACCCAGAAAAGAAAGAAAAAAAAAAGAAAAAGAAGGTCATTATAGCAATGCCTTCACTTCTGGTACACCATTGTCCTCATAAACTCAGAGAAATAGTGTCTTTGGAGGGGGTGGGGACTATCTGGTGGTGCTCAGGGATCATCCCTGGCAGTGTTGGGGGTACCCTATTTTGGGCACATCTGATAGTACCTAGGGATCACTGCTGGCAGTGCTTGGGGGATCATATGCCAAGTTGGCCGGCTGCATGAAAGGCAAGTGCCTGGCCCCCTGCACTCTCTTTGCCGCAAGAAATAGTGTCTAGTTACTTCCATGGCCCCCGTCTGAATAAAACACTAGCCATCTGACCTCACATCCTTATGTTCTCTCAATGCAACGAGCTGGGTGCTCCAGTGAACTATTTCTTGGAGGGAGAAATACGTAGCACCTTTCTGATTCTGCTTAACTCTCCTTACTTGTCAAGCAGCGGAGACACCTAACTTGATTCAGCATCCACAGGACACTGGGCCGGATTCCATCCTGCTAGAGCATGTCCTCTGCTACACACGGGGTATCAAGCTTGGTGGCCAACTCTAGGACTCCTCTCATGATGGACAAGGACAATGGCCAGGGAGACTCAGGGGATGGCCTGGCTACCCATCCGAGTGGAAGATGCTGGTGGTCGTGGGGGTTCTGCCAGGGCTGTGAGAAGCTGGGTTTTGGAGCTCGTGCCAAGACAGATCCTGAGCCCTTTGTTGAGGATCTGCTGGGATGTGTCAGGCAGAGAGATGAGGCAAGTGTCAGTCCAGCTGTTGGTCCCACCGTGGGAAGAACAGGAGAAGGGGTGCCAACCGCTAGGGTGAGGGAGACCCTTCCCCCCATCCCATGTCCATTTCCAAATCTTGAAAATGTGTCCTGAGATGCTGGACATGTCCCAAGGGCCTTAGCTTCTGTTTTGGTGTTCACATCACTCATGAACTTAGGGGCTGCCCACACTAGCATCACAGGGAAGGGTTTCTGTACCACAAAGCCCATTTGTCCATTTCGTCTCTTGTTGCATGTGCCTTGCGTATAATATCCATTTGATCATAATAGCCATTATGATCAAATCTAGTTTCCTGAAGCTTCTGTCCTATTTTCTTCTGGGATATTTTGTTTTATTTATTTATTTGATTTGATTTGATGGGCCACACCTCGTGATGTACAGGGTTTACTCCTGGTTCTGAATTCAGAAATTAATCTTGGCAGGGCGCAAGGGGCCCTATGGAACGCCAAGGAGCAAACCCAGGTTGTCTGCATGCAAGATAAACACCTTCCCCACTCTACTATCACCTCAACCCCTGATCTTAAAAAAGGGGGTCTATGGGGCTGGAGCGATAGCACAGCGGGTAGGGCATTTGCCTTGCACGCAGCCAACATGGCCAACCTGGGTTCAATTTCCAGCATCCCATATGGTCCCCCGAGCACTGCCAGGAGTAATGCCTGAGTGCATGAGCCAGGAGTAACCCCTGATCATCGCCGGGTGTGACCCAAAAAGCAAAAAAAAAAACAAATAAGTAAAATAAATAAAAGGGGGGGTCTAAGTTTTTTCCCACACTTTTAGGTATTATTATTATTATTATTATTATTGATTTTGGGGTTACACTGATACACAGGGGTTACTCCTGGCTTTGCACTCAGGAATTACTCCTGGTGGTGCTTGGGGGACCATATGGGATGCTGAGAATCAAACCCAGGTTGGTGCATGCAAAGCAAATGCCCTACCCATTGTGCTATCGCTCCAGGCCCAGATATAATATTTAGGTTGTGAGTCCACGTGAGTTCATTTTTGTATGTGGTGTCAGCTAAAGTTTCCACTCAATTCTTTATATATGAATTCGCAGTATCCCTGCAGTGTTGAAACTGTCCTTCCCAAAGGATCACTTGACACATATGGGAAGGCTCATGCC